TGGAAGAACAGGAATGATATTCCATCCTCTTTGTTTTGGGAAATCCAACCCGTCTCCCCCCCCCCCTCCACCCACGGGTATGCAGGTCTGAATAAAATCACTTGAAAAATATGCAATCCTTTGTTTGGTAAATCCACCAGCCCTGCCCACTCCCACACCCACCCACTGGGCATCATGATCTGGAACTGAGAATCACTGGAAGAAAATCCCCCGACCCCCAACAACCCCTACCCGGCCTCAACCCCCCCCCCCCCCCACCCCAACCCAGTCCCATCTCGCAGTAAAAAAGAAAGTCTGGTCGGGAACGTAATTGCACCACCACCGTAAAAAGACAAAAATCACTGTTGGAAAACAAATTTCAGCTTTCTTGGCATGGCTTGAACCGCACACCCCGCCCCCGCCCCACCCCGGGGGTCTGAATATGATATCCAGGACAGGGGAAATGAAAAATGAAAGGGGTAGGCCTACTCCCAATAATATAATAAAGGTGCATCATTCATCAGAAAACAAAACATCTTGCTTTTTAGATTAATCTTGTTTTTTTTATTAGAACGCAAGCGGTGATGGCGTGATCAATTGAAAATCATTTGCAATTTTTGGCTGTTCCATCGAAAAATGCCAATGCATATTGCTCGCGACCATCGCACTATCAAACCGACCACCCACATGTGGCACACCATTCGACAGCTGAAAACCTCAACTATTCGGAATAAATTCATTTGAATTCGAACCAAATGTTGGAAAGAAGAAAAATAGGATTGAAGAGATGGACTCCCAGTGAGATTGGCCGAAGACGATGTCATGCGCGTAATAAAGCAAGAACTTGACAATGACGTCATCATGAGCGGAGCTGTTCGCCTAGTTGCATACGAAGGTTTCTGTGAATAGTTTGTCGGGGCCCCCACCCTCTGTCTCCAAGGGTCGGGATATAATGCAATGACCAAACTCCGCTGGATCGACGGCCTCACCAGATGGAGCGGTCTCAGCGTGGATAAACTAACTGCGGCGACCCTTCAGCGAAGGAAATCACCCCTTCACCAGTCACACAACCCAGAAGAAGTGGACGGTTGTTGCGTCAACGGGCAGTAGCCTACGACGTCTGATGATGATGATGATGATGATGATGATGATGATGATGATGAAGATTGGGAAATTCCAGGCCCTCCCCTTCTGATGCTCCCCGGGATATTCATCCCTCCTGGTTTGGAGTACTCTAACCCCCCAGTAAAAGAAAGTCTGGTCGGGAACGTAATTGCACCAAATTAAAAGACAAACTTCACTTGTTGGAAAAAAAATTTCAGCCCTCTTGGCGTGGTTTGAACACCACGCTCCGCCCTCCCCCACCGCCCCACCCCCAGGGTCGGAATATGGTATCCAGGGCAGGGGAAAGGAAAAAAGGAAGGGGTATTCCCAATAATAAAGTCACATCATTCATCAGAAAACAAAACATCTTGATTATTTTATTAATCTGGGGTTTTTATTAGAACGCGCGCGGTGCCAGCGGGCCGGATATAGCCGGCGTGATCAATTGAAAATCATTCGCAATTTTTAGCAGTTCCAGTGATAAATTTCCATGCATTTTGCTCGCGACCATCGCACTATTAAACCGACCACCTTCTTGGGCCACACTATTCGCAAGCTAAAAACCTCAATTACTCGGAATTAATTAATTTGATCTCAAACCAAATGTTGGAAGGAAGAAAAACAGGATTGAAAAGATGGACTCCCTTGGACAATACGAAGTTTGAGTTCCAAAAAGGAAAACGCTAAAACAATATTTTAACTGTCAAAACTCACCCTTTCATTTAACGATTTTGACGCTTTCTTCGGCAAAAGGAAGTGGACATCATTCTGTTGCTTTCAACATGTAAATTTCTGGCATGTGCATCCTCCGATGTAGGCCTACAATGATATTATTCATAAAACTGAAGGAGTCTGGCCGAAAATTGGCCGAAGTAGATGGCATGCGCGTAAGCAAGAATTTCATGATGATGCTATAATGAGCGGCGCTGTTTACCTAATTTGCATATCAAGATTTCTGTGTTGGTGGGGGCCCCCACCACCCACCGCCCACTATAGGGTCGGGATTTGTTGCAAGGACCGAAAAAAGAAAAGGAAATGTGAAATTCAACCCTCCTCCTTTTGAGCCCCCCCCCCCCCCCCCCCCCCGGATTTTAAGCTTCCTGGTTTTGAGTACTCTACCCCCGGCCCCCCTCTACACTCACGAGGCATCCTCCCCCACGCCCCCCCCCCCTCCACCGGCAACCCCTTATGTGCACTCCCCTTCCAAGGGGTCCTGATATGGTGCAGGTGTAAGAAATGAAAGACAGGAAATATTCCATTATCCTGGTTCTCAGTACCCCCCTCCCGTTCCTTCCCCCCCCCCCCACCCAGGGGACCCCACCCCGACCCTCAAGGTGTTGGGATATATGCAATGGCCATTCAACCAAAGAATGTGCATATTCCACCCACTGTGTCTTTGTTCCCCCGCCCTCCCCCCCCCCCATCCCCTCCCCCTCCCCCTCCCCCACCCCACCTGCAGGCCTCCCCCACCCAACCCGCGGGCCATCCCCACCCCAACCCACCGCCCAACCCCGTCGCATCGGGATACAGGGTAAAAGGGACAAAAAAAAAGAGACACACACACATTTCATCAAACGGGATCCCTTTAATCAAACGGGATCCCTTTAATCTCCGTAACCGTCTTCCACTGACCTATATGTTTTATATCTCCTGCACGTTGCACGTGTTTATATCACGTGATTACTTCACTATCATTCGCATTTTTGGGCAGTTCTAGCGAGCAATTTTTATGCATATTGCTCGCGACCATCGCCGTATCAGACCGACCACCCACATGTGCCACACCATTTGAAAGCTGAAAACCTGTTCTATATGGAACTAATTCCGGTTTTTCTGAACCAAATTCGAGAAGACAGAAATTTAGGAGTTAAAAGATGGACTCCCTCGAAAAATAAGAAGTTTTGGTTCCTAAAAAAAAAAACCGCTAAAAAATGTTTGAACTGTCAAAACTCAAGCAATAATTTATCGATTTTGACGCTTTCTTCGGCAAAAGAAAGCAGATATCATGAGCGTTTCTACTGTAAATTTCTGGCATGTTCACTCTCCGATGCATAATGATTTCATTCATAAAACTGAAGCGAGTCGGGCTGAAATTGATGGCATGAGCGCAAGCACGAACTCAACGTTGACGTCATAATGAGGGGCGTGTTGACCCCAATTTGCATAGGTGAATTTTCGCGATAAGTTTGTATGTGCTTCAATCTTTCTGGAGTCCATATGCACTCGTGAAACGTCTGGTGATGGCAGCCATTTTGAATGGGACAAGAGATGACCTCAAGCTGTGACGTCGCGTGTATGCAAATTGCTTGTCGAGCGCGCGAGGGCGCGAGTTGCAAATGCGACGGCTGTTTCCTGTACCATGCATTTATCGTCAGGGGGCCACGTGCACCGATCTCTATTCAGGATCTACGGCACAGGAAACAGCCGTCGCATTTGCAACTCGCGCCCTCGCGCGCTCGACAAGCAATTTGCATAAACGCGACGTCACAGCTTGAGGTCATCTCTTGTCACATTCAAAATGGCTGCCACCACCAGACGTTTCACGAGTGCGGGCTCCAGAAAGATTGAAGAATATCTCGGAAAATGGAACATTATTAGACCTAAGCACATGCTAAGCATCCCAGAAGTGATAGGAGACATCATAGAATACAACCATAAGAAAGTAAGAAACTGAAAATGTAAGAAACTGCCCTGAATTTTATGAAAAACTTCGTCCTCAGTAGCGCGCGGTACCACGGTGTGTGGCCAGAGGTTCAGCGCAGCATACCGACGGCCACACTAGTTGGGCTAGATTTTGCACAGCTCTGATTTCAAAGCGAACTTGAAGTTGAACTGATGATAGTGATAACCTCAGGATTCCAAAATCACAATTCATGGCAGTATATTAAATAATGGTGGGAAAAAAATGTTGCATTGCAACCTGACGCCACTTCCGCGATTGTGTACAAAGTCTATGGACATGCTGGAGAGTCAAGAAAATTTTCTAAGTATTTCCTAACAAAATTGGAAATATTTCTCAGTCCCAGATTCATGTCTTAATACTCTTATCATCATTTTTGCAATGAATGACCTTAATTGAGATGATATATGATCAAGAAAAAAGAGGCGTCAGGTTGCAACATTTTTCCCAATGGTGGTCTTTGGTATTTGCAAGTAAAGTAATGACCTAGCTTGAGCTACTCCTAGAACTATGAGGCTCCGCTCACGCGGAGCCTCATAGTTCTAGGAGTAAGCTTGAGCATGTTGAGCATGTTGAGTAACGTAACTCCAGCTGACATGCTCATATTCATTCACATGTAGCGCTGGAGATAAAACCAGGGCGTGATAACCGCCAAATGGACATGATGGAGCTGATTGTCCTTTTCCACCTCATTATCTCACCCCAGATTCCATTTACATACCTCATCATACATTCAGCAGTCATTCATGAGGCTAATGATCGACTTGAAACTGACAACAACAAAAAAAGATATGAAAAATATTGATGATTTTGTTGGCTTGTCCATTAAATACGTCCCGTATCACTGCTGTCGTCCATGATGTTTGGTTAATTTTGCTCACGACACAATCATATGGTGGCCCTGAAGGGACATCACGCATCGAGATTTCTGCGCAGATTTCTGCGACATCGCAGAAAAAATGTGCGACATCGCAGAAATCTGCGCAGAAATCTCAAGAAGCTTACGTTTTTCTTTTCAAAATGCACTTCGTCAGGAAAAAAATAATGGGAGACTAATTTTACATACTTGGCTATTCTTAAGGCACAGCCGTAACGGCAGGGTGGGGGAAGGAGGGGGGGGGGGGGGGGAGAGGCGGGTGAGATTTACATCCCAAGGTATCATGTTTACTCTTTTTTTTGTCAAGGTAATACAGCAAGTGCTTTGATGTTTTAGTAGATGCTTTTCCTTTTTACTCAGGTCCTTAGCCAAACTATCTCCAAGATAGAGAATATCACTAAAACAGGCTGGAGGCTACCGCAATCATGGTTCTTAAGAAGCGCAAACATAGCACCAGCCGGCTTGAAGACGTCCCGTTAGCTGATTATGGCGCTGACGAAAACATCACCGACAGCGCCAAGATACAATGGGTCAACCAACCATGGGTGAGTAATGTATCTTGCGAATTGACCAATCAGATCACGACTTTTAGTCAGGTGACCACAGTAGCTTGGTCAAATTCAGTCACAAGCACTGTGAGAAATGTACACAATCCAAAGATGGGCGGGGCTTGACAGTGTACATTGACCAATCAGATCATGACTTTTAGTCAGGTGACCACAGTAGCTTGGTCAAACTCAGTCACAAGCACTGAGAAATGTACACAAACCAAAGGTGGGTGGGGCTTGACAGTGCACATCGACCAATCAGATCATGACTTTTGGTCAGGTGACCACAGTAGCTTGGTCAAACTCAGTCACAAGCACTGTGAGAAATGTACACAATCCAAAGGTGGGCGGGGCTTGACAGTGCACATTGACCAATTAGATCATGACTTTTAGTCAGGTGACCACAGTTGCTTGGTCAAACTCAGTCACAAGCACTGTGAGAAATGTACACAAACCGAAATAGGTTTTGTCTTATGGCCGAATGCAAAATGTTTGAGGCCCATGGCTGGGGGAGCACAGCTTGTGCATGTCCCTGGGCAAGCCACTTTATCATGAGTTAATCCTCCTATGTAAACATACACTCTGTGCAAAGTTGTCCTTTCAATCATAATCAGTCAAGTGACTGTTGTTAACAGTTGAGAGCTCCCAGCCTACAAAAAGCAGGATTGACTGCCTGTGACTGTTTATGTAACTTGATACCAGTATGCTTTGACTGTAGGCGATTCATAAGGTAGCTGTGCCTACTGGCACCACTGGCCTGCTTTTGACGGTTGACTGAATTTGACTAGTCACAGTGCATGGTTGAAATATGATCCGACTGTTGGTGACTAGTCTGTGTAAAAGGCATGGCAGGGGAAGAGGATTGATGTTTTGACTGTCTGTGACTGTTCAGACAGCCTTATGTAGAATCTAATGATGTGTTTGAATTGAACGTAAGTACTAGCAGTCGGAAAGGGTCTTTTTGGTTTTTTGTTAATATGAATTGACCGCTGAAGAATCAATTTATGGTATTTGACTTTCATTTCTAGGTACGAGGCGTGCTCCGTGGTATGGCAATCATCAGCTTCATATCCGTCAGTTGTAACACGCCAGAGACGTTCCAGCACCTGGCCGAACTTACGTACATCACGTTTGTCACGGATATCATCGTATCGGTTATCTTCACTGCCGAGATGATAGCCAAGATGCACATGAAAGGCGTCATCCGTGTAAGTACTGGCACAACTTGCAATTAACTGTTAGGGCCTGTCGCAGTTCATATCCGGGAAGAGTTCCGCACAAGTTGCGGACATTGGGTGGACACGTGGCAGGATTTTGATCAACTTCCCCGCAATCTTCCCGCAATGAAGTTATCAGTATTGGTGAGTCAAGCAGTTGCTGATGAAAAAATCCCCGGAACGTGTCCGGGACAAATGAAGAGCTTCCTCCGGACAAACTGAATGATTCTACCCACAATTTGTCCAGGAATTCGTCCTGGATACAAATTGCCCTTATTGTGAAGCCGCAACTGTACCGTCGGTCCCAACTTAAGCTGGGACTACCCCAACTGAAGTGATAGGGCCGGCCCAACTATAGCTGTCCTGGGCACAACATAGTTTTCACGGCAGCATTCATCAAAAACGTGTCCATTTACCATTTCAACCATGTTGCAAATTATACAAAATAAGTAACTAAATATAAGTTAGTTTCTCTTGCCCGTATTTGCAGCATGCGTAACCGACGGGAATGTACAGCATTGAATGCACGTCCTTTAACGTGCCGTGCACGTGCACGAAGTGACAGCGTCCCAGTTGGGCCGGACGAACTGCAACACTCGAGTTGGAACCATTCCTATATAAGTTGGGACCATCCCAACTTAACCCTAACCCTGCCAGACACAACACCATGCATCTGGTTAAAAAGTCTGTGGGACCTTGCTGCATTGAGCCATCAACACCAGTGCATGAACGGCCAATTCTGAGACAATGAGAGCTAGTCCCATTGAACAATGCTACAGTTGTATCCTGCTACAGTTGGTGACCACAAAGTCTGAGGCAGTTTGGCCTTGAGACTTTTGACCTGATGGATCTTGCTGCACTGGGCAGGCTTGTCATTTTGACAAGTGTTGCATGTTGCTGCATTTGGCAGGGTTTCTGAATGTGCACAAAACAATAGCGTCTTCACGTAAACGTCAGTTGTCATCGGCAATACATTCCAATATCTCTCCCAGTGGTCTCCCCCAACTCTCCCTTTCTTACCGTTGAGGGGTTACTTGTGCACGGAGCCCATACTGCCCAAAACCACAAAAGAACTTCATAGTCTTATGGTTCATCAAGGAATAAATACAGTGTTATAAAATGTAATGCAAATGTTAATGTCTTCATTGAATTCAATTAATTTCAAGTCTTATGCAAGTTTGTTGTATATATTTGCTCCATTGACAGGGTGAAGCGCCGTATCTCAAGGACAATTGGTGCGTCTTTGACGCCATCATGGTGTTTCTTGTCTGGGTCTCGGTGGTGTTACAGGTAAGTCCAAGAAATTGTACTGCCTAAAGTTGTAGATCATTTGTCATTTGTGCATTTTTTTCCTTAGAAGCAACAAAAGTGCACAAAATCTAAAGACGGGTGCTTAACAACTAACCTGATGAAGTTTTAGCTCAGTGAATGCTGTGTATTCCGAAAAAAACAATATTCTAGGATTTCGATTTTCAAAAGTTGTTGAGAAATGTTTTTAATTGCACCCGAAATCAGCTTCCGGGACATGTTCTCATTCAGCCGATTGCAGCTACGCGATGTCACGCACTGAACCGACGAATTATAGCAAGTGCGCGTACGTGTGCTTCGTGCCAACGCTTGCGTGCAGCCATTCACGCATGATTGATTTTCGTTGCAATTTGCTGAGTTTGTTTTTGACATGCTTTTTTTCAATACGAATAATTTCAAAACGCTTTTAAAAAATCAAACCAATACTTACGAGGGATAAAGTTAAGATTCCAAGCTTTAAAATGATATAAAAATAATGGCGGTATGTGCTTCTACACCGACCCTAGAGCCTCGCAAAAAAATGTTGCGAGTATTTTGGGACGGGCTGTAGTATACAAATCTTATTTGGATTTCCTGACCATGCATTAAGAATGTACATTTGATGTTATTATCTTTGAAATGTGTTTTATCAACTAGATTTCTCACTGTGTTTTGTTGTATTTTCCCCCCTAGTTTTTCCAATTGACGAATGTTGTGCCTGAAGTCACCGTTTTGTCCATTCTGAGGTCACCGCGCCCGCTGATCGCAGTGCGATGCGTCCGAGTGTATCTCAAGTTCCAACTGCCTAAGTCCAGGGTCATGTCCATTTTCAAGTACGTGCAAGTTGTCATCGGCATTTCCACCACAGTGCTCATACATTACCTCAATCTGACACTACGAAATAGTGCAGTTGTTGGTCACGATCAGTACGCTGTCGTCTGATCGTGCTGCATTATCTTCCGATCGCACTGCGCTGTTAGTCGATCCTGCAGACCATCAGATTATTGTGCTGCAGCAGTCGATCCCCTTTTGTTTCTAATTCTCGGCTCAGGAGGATTGATTTGAAAAAGTGAAGTAAAAATCTGAGATTTTCTACAGGATCGATCGTGCAAGTACATTTCTGCGAGATCGAGTAATTGCGCAAATCCACCGATTGTGCCGGTGTAGCATGAATTTAGGTTTTATGAAATAGGGACTCATTGATGATATTGCACATGCTCATGCATAGATAATTAGGAGAGGGACCGGTCACGTGAGAGGGTTTAACCAATAAAAGGGAAAAAAGAGTCCGATTTTCATTCAAGTCCGATTTTCATATGACACCGGTCTGTACATTATCAACACTAACTATGGGGTAGGAACCAGCCTGCCCCACGAGAACAGAAGTATTGTCTAGCGGTCAATAATTCAAATTGTAAGTAATACAATTATATAAATATGGGCCAATTTTTTTCGGTCAATGTCTCATTCAAAGTGAATAATTTCCCCAGCCTAATTTACTAGGAACCATACCCATTCTGACAAATTCCAACACCCACATGGGAAACTGCAAACACACACGCTGTTGGACTTAGTTTCTGGAGGTATGCCAAACCCAATGTAAAAGACCATCAGTTTAGGGGTACTGTACCTATCCGAACAGATTTAAACAAAACCTGCTGTTGAACTTTGATGGGTTGAGTTCGGTTAGGGTTAAGCAATCTATTTGTCGAGATGAAACTCGAAAATATCGTGTGAAACTCAACTTTAATTATGATGCTTTCAGACTTTGCTTGACTGATGTGATATTTTATGTTTTACTCGACCCTTTTCCATCAGACGATCTGGCCAGCAAGTTTGGAGTGTGACCATCTTTCTGGTGTTTTTCCTGGTCTTGTACGGAATGCTCGGGGTGCAGATGTTTGGTAGTCTCTCTGCTCATTGTGTGGTGGAAGGAACAACAAAAGAGTAAGTAAATAATATTATAACACCTCACCCGCAGATTCTGTGTCTTGATTGGCCGAGAGCGAGTCACATGACACTTTCTATTTTTGCCTTCTTTCTGTGCACGGCCAAAAGAACTATACCCGTAGCAACCAAAGTACTATACCATTAGCAACCAAAGTACTATTTCCACGGCGCAGTTTTTGAGTGCAAATGCATGCTGTTGTGCATGTTGCGCGTTGCGCGTTTTGTTCCAAAGAGAGCACGCCACAGAGTTGGGTTCAAACATTTCGCGAAGGGGTAGTTTGGAAGAGAGAAATACATTTTCTAACAATTTTGTACTGAAATTGAAGCTTATTTCAACTGTGTTCAGATTTAAATAATTAAAAATATTAAAACCAAGCAGAATTTATGGGTGAAGTGTTATGAAACAAATATTGAATGCTTTATCTCGTGGTGAAGTAAAACTAGCCTCCCTCGGTGATCCATGCAGCATTCTATTTCCATGGATCACCTCGGGAGGCTAGTTTTACTACACCACTTGAAGCATTCAATATTTGTATAATATGTGTTGCTTATAGCGCTTTCCACCTAAAGTAAGTCTAAAAGCGCTTCACAATCATTACCCCTGATCATCAGGCCATGAGATTTTGTTTGCAGCCGAGATCAACTTAATCTGGTCTCTACCTTCATAGGTACCCATTTATACTCCTGGGTGGAGAGAGGCAATTGTAGTAAAGTGTCTTGCCCAAGGACACAAGCACCATGCTCCTGGTCAGGGTTGGAACCCACGTACCATAGCGCATGGGTTGAACACTGTTACCATTGGACCACATGTAAGATGTAACAGGGACAAGACCAAAGTGGACCCCAAATTTAGGCCGGCGTTTATCTCTGTTCCTTAGCATGAAATGACAGAGAATATTCCTAATTCCCCTGGATGGGATGCTAGTCTATCGCAGGTTACTCCCCAGCTAATGCCGGTACCTATTTATACTCCTGGGTGGAGAGGTAGTTGTTGTAAAGTGGCTTGCCCAAGGACACAACATATAATAATAATAATAATGTGTGTTTATAAAGTGCACGTATCACCCAGTATTGGTGCTCTAGGCGCTACATCATTATTACCCCTGCTCATTGGGCCAATGAAACATTCCAAATACCATCTCAGCTCCCTGGGGAGTATACAGCTCCATGCTGCCATTTCGGCGCAAAGCAGCTAAAATCAATCACAATAACCATCTCTGCCATCACAGGTACCCATTTATATAATGAGTGACAAAGAAATAATGAGTGACAAAGTGCCTTGCCCAAGGGCACATGCACCATAGCCCCAGGCTGGAATCGAACCCACAACCTGCAGAATTACCCACAGACCACGAATTCAATGCTCCAGATCACAAGGCCACGGCACTCTAAAATAGCCGGCAGCTGGATTCGAACCACTAACCCTCTGATTATGAGTCACAAACTCTAATCACTAAAAGCCACGCTAGGCCACACTTATTGGGTACATTTTTTCCCGCCTTAACTGAAAGTTTTGCAACTTTCTCCGACCCTTTCTTCCCGTAGTACTAATTTCACCATGGATGAGCTCGCGATACCGGACACGCATTGCTCCATGGATACAAACATGGGATACCAATGCCACAACGGAATGAAGTGTATCAACAGAGACTCCTTACCGAGGGACGTCATGGGGTACAACGGATTTGAACACATTGGTAAGACGAATGAGATCACGAACACCTGCTCCTAAAGGGCTCCTTGCAATAAAATGAAGATCCTGGATTATTCTATCAATTCCCGCAAAAGCCAAGTTCAGGTCTCTCATGGTTCATTTTATATTGATTTTCAAAGACTAAATCTAGAAAGTTGTAGTCGCTTGTAATTTGACACCCGATGGCGTCATCATGACGTCAGAGTAATATGCACCACTCGGGATGAGGGTCGATATATGTTGAAAGTTACAAGTTCATACCATAAACTGTTTAGGAGAAAACCCACGGAGAGTTATTGTGCAGAAAAAAACAACAACATATTTCAGAACGATTCTAAACAGTGGTCGGGACCATTGTGCCAAACCACTCAAACAGTGGCACATTAAAAACTGTCCCTTGTGACCTCTTCGTCAGGCCTACAGCTATGGGGTCAAATGTCAAAGTAAGTCAAATTTCAAAGAAGCTCAAATCACCAAAGTAGCGCCGTCAATATGTTGGCCTCGGTCAAACATTAAAAAATGTCCACAGTGACCTCTTCATCTGACCTACAGCTATGGGGTCAAAAGTTCAAAATAAGGTGAACATAAATGCGTTGGCCCGCAGCTTCTGAGATCCGATCGAGCTTGTTTTTGGTTGATGTCTCATTTAATAGTGATTAACTTTTATATTGCTAGGAAAATTCAAAATAGCAATTGAAAAAAAAATGTGTTTTTTGGGGTGAAACTCAAAATAGCACAGGGAATGCATTTTTAATGTGGAAGTATCTAGCGAAAAACACTCTTTAAATGTTCTGTCGTTAGGAACGAGTATCTTCACGGTGTATGAGAGTGCGTCTCTCGAGGGTTGGGTGTTTGTCATGTATAAAGTCACGGACAGCTTCTCGTCATGGCGTGGCTATTTCTTCTTCGTCACGATGATCTTCTTCCTTGCCTGGCTTGTGAAGGTAAGACAGTTAGCTTCATTTGTGGGGCTACGGCTTAATTTGTGTGATAATACTGCTATGGAGTGAGCCATAGTCATAGCCAGTGATGCCTGTTTCAGGCACAGCTTTTTGGGGCAAAAATCTATCTTTCCTTTTTTGATGTGCAAATGTAGTTCTGCATTTACCGATTGCGTATCCGTGATGCATTTGCTGGCAATCCATGTTTATGTTAGCCTTGGTAAGGCATTCCGTCGATAGTGATCTGGTACACGGTACCCTGTGGAGACATGTGCATAATAGGAACAAAAGATTGTATACGTCTCCACAGGGCAATTTCTATGGGTGAATACGTCTCCACAAGGTTATCACGAAATAGAAATATGGATTTTACTCAAAAACTAAGAATTTCCAAGGTGTGTTTGATCTGTCGCAAATTGAAGTATTTTGGGATATTAAGTCCGAATTTCAGCCCAGGAAATTAATTCTGGTTACAATAGGAGCATTTTGAAACTACACTTTCAAACTCTAAATTGTTAGTACACTAGAACAAAGAAAGACTCCACAATGATACAAATTCCAGTATACATGCTGTTGTATGGCTTTACGATCGAGGATAGACACACAAAGGGAGAACAAAAGATGCTTCCAGTGTTTTCTATTCTACTGTTGGGCATTGCAAGGAGAATAACCACAAGAATTTTTATGTCATTAGTCTTTGCGATAATTATGTCATTAATCAAAGAGTACATGGTGTTTCATATGGGACAAAAGGGGACCTTTTCGTGGACTTACCCGGTATGGGGGCTGTGGTCAAATGGTTACGGTGTTCGACTTGTGTGCCGTGGTACATGGGTTCGAATCCTGACGGGGAACATGGTCCTTGTGCTCTTGAGCAAGGCACTTTACCATTATTGCTTCGTCCTTTGGATGGGACGTAAAGCCGTAGGTACCGTGTGTTGTGTAATACACGTTAAAGAACCCAGTAACACTTATCGCTATAAAAGAGAAGGGGTTTGCCCCGGTGTTTCTGGCAGTGGCTGTAATATGTGCTGTAGCACCTTATAAACCCCTATAAGGTGTTACATAATGGGTCTCGCATTTCTCATAAACTTCATTTACCTGTCTTTAACAAAATAAACATATTTACCAGCGCCTTGAGTACCTAATTGTTGGTAGATACGTGTGCTATATTAGACTCCGGTATTATTATTATTATGTGGACATATGCGCGATGCGTTTCAAAGAACTGATGTTTAAGCATCACGTCCTGCGTGCAGGATGACCCTATGCTAACTTGTTACAATTGAACATGTACCACTTTGACAGATTTTGTTGTTGTTGTTGTTGATGTTTTAGAATGTGTTCATAGCTGTGATCATCGAGACGTTTGCAGAGATTAGGGTCCAGTTCAGACAAATGTGGACCAGCAGCCGAACAGCCGAATCAGCCGTGGATTCCAAGGTAAGAAACCCAGAGACTCCCATGAAATAATCTCATTTAAAGATTGTAGACAACAGTTGTATTTGTCATAATTTTGGAAAGAACTAAAGGCCACCGACCATTGATGTCAGGGACCGGTTCCAGATTATGGGATCGAGTCCCCGTAACCAACTTTACAAATTACTTAGTAACTTCTCAGACAATGAAAAATTAAGGTTTTGAATGTTTTTTGTTGGGAATTTTGAAAATGAAAACCAGGCTACATGGGAAAACAAAACATATTTTACGTTTATGGCACTTGCAAAAGTTGCAGTTTGCACCGTTAAGCTATAAGCTCACTGTACACACTTGTTTCTTGCTGTATTGACGCACCGATGTACATTAATAGTATTAATAATAGTGGTATTTATAAAGCGCACGTATCCACCAGGACTGGTGCTCAAGGCGCTACATCATTATTATCCTGATCATTGGGCCCATGAAACATTCTAAATACCATCTCAGCTCCCTGGGGAGTATACAGCTCAATGCAGCCTGTTAGGCGCAAGGAAGCTAATTCAATCACAATAACCATCTCTGCCCACACAGGTACCCATTTACTCCTGGGTGGGGAGAAGCAATGTGTGACAAAGTGCCTTGCCCAAGGGCACACGCACCATGACCCAAGGCTGGACTCGAACCCACAACCTGCAGCTTTACCCACAGACCACGAATCTAATATCCTTAACCACGAGGCCACAACACTCCATATTATCATATGGACCTTCATGAACAATCATAAACGTACTTGCTTAAATTCAGCCAATCACATATTCCCATTCACAAATACCTTGGAGTCCTACAGTTTTAGGTTCTGGAAAAACTTTGTTAACAATTTCACAGTTGTGTACAGCATGGTATCACATTGTTTTTATTCCCTGAAGAATTCATAAAATCAAGTTCTTGGGCAGTTTGGGCATTACAGGAGCAATAGGCAGGGCGGGTTGAGGCGGTACATGGAGTTATGGATGATATTCTATTCATATCATAGGTGCTTCAAGATGACGGCACCTGCACGCCCTGGAAACTGACGACCGTGGATGAGAACAAACCCCGTGGCTTAGCCCCCCATTGCTGTCAGCTCATACTGCAGTCCAGGGCCTTCCATATGGTGATCCTGATACTCGTCATCAGTGACGCCTTGCTGGCGTCCACGTACAACATGCTGAACACATTGGCGACAGAGGAACAGAGTAATAGATATCACGATTTCCTCTACGCTGCCCAGGTAAGCTTTAATCAATTGCCTCTATCCGCTCCGTTCACAGGTACCCCCTGATCACCGGCAAAGAAAGCACAGTTAGGGGTGACCGACCGACGCCATCTTGCCTGACTGCAATTTTGCCGCGACGCGCGCGGCGGCCGTACCATCTACCACTGCGTGTACATAGTACAAATCACCTGGTGTACGTGCGTCACACACAAGGAACGGTGCGCGTCAACCAGCTAAATGTCCCACCCATGGGACGTCATTGCTAGGTAAAAGGGCGCCCTCTTTTGTTGGCGCACAGAACCCATGGGTACAGACTAGTAAATATACAGCCATATATCCCAGTGATAAATGCCTTCACTTTAAAAAAAAAACAGGGAAAATACCCACAACTTTCGAATGTGTTCGGGACACACATCAAACTAAAGCTTATTTCATTACCTTTTATTTTCTGTTCAACTTGTTTGACATGTTTGAGGGTTTAACCAATGACTTTGGGGAGAAATTTTATTCCAAAGATGATCGCCCTTAACCAGTTGGTGTCGGACGACGTAATAACACGCACTGGCTTTGTCTATACCCAGGCACGGATGACGGGTTAAAACGTCAAGATTGCCTCGACTGGCCTCCGGGTGACATCTAAACACACTAATCCCTCGTGCCTTTTGTACACACCCAAAGTCTGTGGAGGCGGACCGTGTGTTGATCTTGAATTGGCCGTTGTGCATGGCCTATTGTTGTACAATTTACGCTCCAGTGCACACCCCAGAGTACTGAAACATATGAGGTTTCGGCAAGAAATATCGTACAAATACTGATGACATAGCAGAAGTTGGCTGGAAAATTTTACTTTTTGCGAAAATCTAAATTTTCGGCGAAAATAATCCCAGCACGAAGTGGTTTAAAGTAACTGTGTCATGCAGAAAGTCACTGCAGCAAATCAGCACTGTGGAGAGCAGTGAAGCGTGACTGAATCTGCCTGCTTGCCCTGAGCTTAACCACACACAAGAATTGTGCAGGGATTTGAAGTGTTATCCATACTCCAGAGAAGATTACCTCAAAGGAATTTGAAGTGTGGGCGCTAACAAAAAGTGGTTTTGCAAAACTTGAAGGGTTACAAAGTTCAAAAGACTACGAGTGTTAATGAAGCTTGTGTCTGTTTTTTTTTTCCTGTCCAGGTGACTTTTACCGTTCTGTTTGACCTTGAGGTCTTGTTCAAGATTTGGTGTCTTGGTTTTTTTGGTTACATCAAGCGATCACTCCACAAGTTCGAGTTATGTTTGGCACTTGGTACAACCCTACATCTCTTCAAGGATTTATACCACACACAGTTAACTTACTTCCAAGTGAGTATATTAGTAGAAGTCAAGTCTGTCACGAGCTAATATGGCCCATCAGGCCGGCGTTTATCGCCGGTTTTTCGCATGAAACGACTGAGAATATTTCTACTCCCCCTGGATGGGATGTTAGTCCATCGCAGGTTACTCCCAAGCTAATGCCGGTAACCGTTTATACTCCTTTGTGGAGAGAGGCAAGTTGAGGTAAAGTGGCTTGCCCAAGGACACAACACATGACCAGCAGCATGTGACCTAGTCTATAGACAACACCAAAGAATGTTTTCTTTGTAATTTCATCTGAAGTTCAATGTCGAAAAGTTTAGCCAGAAATGTTTTACTTGTAAACTAAGATTCAGTGTTCTGTGCACTACCTATTTTATATCTTGTTACACTTTAATAAATATTTTTATTATTATTTATTTCTGGTTATGAAACCAAGGATTCCTCAAAAGCGCCCTAGGCACTGTAGCCCGCAAGCCTGAAGAAACCTGTGGAGAGAACACAATGAGAAGTTACAGTTTTAGAAGTGGGAGGAAAAGCCCAGAGGAATATTCTGGGGAAAACCCACAGAATCAGGTAGGGACTGAAAACCCAATCCACATGTGGACCAGAGCAGGAATCGAACCCGGGTCATAGCGGTGGAAGGCGAGGAAAGTACCGCTACGCCAACCTGACTCCCCACTCTGACAGCTCCCTGTACTACCCCAATCCGCCCGAGCACCCTATGTTTTTTTGTATTCATCATGGAATGAACACAGTGTAATCACATGATGTACAGGATCTAATGGTTAACTTTTTTACCTTAGGTTGTGCGCTGTGTGCGTCTGATCAAACTTTCACCGACACTGGAGGATTTCAGTCGCAAGGTATTTTCAGTTACCTTAAAGGATATAGTGTTAACCAGTTCGCGTCGGAGGACGTGGTAACACGCACTGGCTGTTTTTATACACAGGCACGGCTGAAGGATTAAGACGTCAAGATTGCCTTGACTTGCCTGTGGGTGACATCTAAACACGCTAATCCCTCGTGCCTTTTGTACGCACACACAAAGTCTGTGTTGTCTGTGGAGGCGGACCGTGTGCTGACCGTTGTGTGGGCCATTGTGCATGGCCTATTGTTGTACAATTTACACTCAAATGCACACCCCGGATTATTGAAACATATGAGGTTTCGGCAAGAAATGTTATACAAATACTGTTGAAATCACTCTTGCGAATAAGTATTTGTGGCATTTTGCTGTCAATTTTGCCTTTTGAAAATTTTGAACTTTTTGGCAAAAAATAAACCTGGCGCGGTGGTTAAAGGTAGAGTAGATCATTTGCATGTATTCAAAAAGTAACTGACTTATTTTTTGATAAAAACTTACTTGGTTTAAAGTTAGTAATTGCACTAAACTCCCTGTGAATTTATTCTTTCTGGCATGCTGTCATTTTGAAGAAAACAGTAAAAAAATGGTCATTGTGATGCCTTGTGATAAAGTATACAGTATCATGCGCTATTTCCACAGTGTAATAGTAAACCAAAAGATATGTGTAGCTGATGGCTTGCAAGGGGGGATACGCAATGTTTTAAATTATTTCCTGGAAATTAACCAACACTTTTTCCCCTCTTTTTTTGGGAGGGGGACCATGCCCCTCGTTGCAAGCAAATGATCCTGTGTACCTTTACATAAGTGGAATGGGTTTAATAAAGTTAATAAAATCCAGTAGAAAATCTCCTTGACGTTAACTTTTTGCTTTATTTAAACTTTGCAGATCTTTGGACCATTCGTCAAGCTGGGCACGTTGATTCTATTCACCATGAGTTCTCTCATCATTGTCTCAGTCATCAGTCTTCAGCTCTTCTGTTGCATCGAGAACCTCAATCAATTCAAAACGTTCCCGCATGTAAGTAAATAAATTAAATAATAATAATAATAATAGTAATAATAATAATAAAGTGGTGCTTATATAGTGCTTTATACCAAAGGTCTCAAAGTGCTTCACAATATTACCCCTGTTCATCAGGCCATGAGACCAGTTTTCTGCAGCAGCTCAAGATCAGTGCAATGTAGTCTCTACCCTCACAGGTACCCATTTGTGGTGCGATCAAGCTAAATGAGTCGATTGTCGACCCTGGTCAATTGTTTTTGTTACAGAGCACGAGAGCACGATCTTAGCATTACTGCTGTGAAAACCACATGCTAATACCATCTTTAGTTCAAAAATTATGGAAGTCGGAACACCAAGAGATGTGATGTGATGAAATGGCCCTATTTTGGCCTGAATCTCCAAATGAAAGTTCATGACAAACGACTCATATAGCTTGATTGCATTACATTTGTACTCCTGGGTGGAGAGAGGCAACTGTAGTAAAGTGGCTTGCCCAAGAACACAAGCACCATGTTTCCCGTTAGGTTCAAACCCACTTACCATTGCACATGAGTGGAGCAACAAACCATTGGACGACAGTGTTCGATACCTAGGTCTTGAATAAAGTTAAGTTTGTCACAAGCCAATATGACCCATCAGGCTGGTGTTTATCTCCAGTTTCCTTGGCACGGAACGACTGGGAATATTTCTATTCCCCCTGGATGGGATGCCAGTCCATCACAGGTTACTCCCCAGCTAATGCCGGTACCTATTTATACTTCTGGGTGGAGAGAGGTAAAGTGGCTTGCCAAAGGACACAACATATGACCAGCAGCTGGATTCGAACCCCTGACTCTCTGATCATGAGTCACAAACCCTAACCACTAGGCCGCACTCCCCATCAGCTCAAGTCTTGGTTCAGCCAATTTTCTTTGCTTAAAATCATTTCCAGTGACATTTGCAGCTTTTTCGAAAAAAAATCCTGCAAGAATATACTCTCTATTTATACATGATAAATAGAGAGTATATTCTTGCAGGATTTTTTTTCGAAAAAGTAATTTTCTGAAAAACACGAAACAATCAATTCTTAAATAAGAACGTTAAATATATTTAATTGAATAACTAATCCTGAAGCAGTTGCTAGTCGTTATGAGTTAAAAAACATACCTTTCCTTATTTTGTTGGTTTGTTTGTACAAAATATCTTTTTCACAAGCACTTTCCAATTACTATCCGTGATATTGGACTGATTCCTGATTGGTCAAGAGTGCTGATGTTGTGCTAACTGGCCAATAGCCTTTGACTTCATTGCATAAATTACTGCATTATCATTAATTATGCGAGAGAATTCACGTGTCTATACAAACATTCGTCTCTTTTCAAATATAGTTATCAGTGTTCGTATTCAGTTTATGTTGCTTCATTGTGATGTTGCAGTTTTACTTTATATTTTTTACTGATGATCATGTATCTGTGTATGCGGTGTGGGTTCCCCACCCCGTATCGTCACCATGTCTGTCCCTCTAGGCCCTCATGTCAATGTTTCAGATCCTGACCCAGGAGGGTTGGATCGAGGTAATGAATGAGGCTATGCTTCATGCCAGCGAAGACGTGACTATCGCAATCGCAGTCTTCTTTTTAACGTACCATCTTTTTGCGTATGTGGTAAGTGTGTCAACAGAGGGCCTCATCCTCCACAAAATTCACGAGCGAAGGTGGAACCAAGGCTGCAGTTTATGGTGTAATGGCACCCACAAGAATTTCCTGAAAATGTAGTGGCTATTTTTACGGAATCAGAATTTTACAGAATTTTGTGAAATCTTGGATTTTTATTAACGAAGATTCTTGAGTGGAACTTTACACCATGAACATCTTTGGTCCGCCTTGCTAGGGTCGTAAAGGATGTTTGATATTTTCATCCTTTACGAATCCTGAGAAACTAAAAAATGCCTGCTTAGCAGATAACATCGCTCAGGGGGAAAACGTCAAAACATCCTGATTTTGTAAACTGGCAGTTTAAAAATTGGGATTGATTTGAAGTTTTTCCTTAACTAAATCGACCGCAATAATAAGAATAACACATTGTTTTTATTTTCTTCTTGTTCCTCTTTTATTCTCTCTGCTTTGATGCCTTCTTCCCCCGCCCTTCCTCTAGGCCTTCATGTCCATGTTCCAAATCTTGACTCAAAAGGGCTGGGCCGTCGTCATGTATGAGTGTATGCTTGCAACCGATCATAGCCTGGCCCCGATCATAGCCATCTACTTCATCACTTATCATCTGTTTGCCACAGTGGTAAATATACATACCATCTCAGGTCCAGTAGAAATGAATGGGTGTTTTAGTGTTGCATTGTTACTAACAAATAGGTTTTGTCAAAAACAGTAGCCATCTTGGTCTGGTTCCTGGAAGTCACAGTTAGGATCTGTGTGACGCTAGTAATAAGCACCAGACTATTTTGGAATTTATTTTGCCCTTCACCGATGTGAAAACACCGTATACTCAGTGTGTTACCGCCCGAGTTAAAGTTGGACAAAATCACTCGGGTGGGACTCAAACCCACGACTTCCTGCTTTGTAGTGCAGACGTCTTACCACTCGACCTCTGATCTTAGAAATAGTTTTTTTAAGACATGTTGGAAGCCACGATGGCTGCTGTTTGACGAAGATCTGTACATTTTAAAGCTGGGTAGCACTTGAGGGCGCCCTACATTTTTTAGTCCGAATGCGTGTCGTTGCAGGGCGAAGTGGATGTATGTAAGAATGTACGTTTTCATATTGTGTCCGGGTTGGATCACATAGTTTGTAAGTTTGTGGGTGTTTTATTGTTCGTTTTTGTTGTTTGGTCGATATTGAATTTCTCATTTAAAATGTACCGAACATTGACAATGAGAGCTGCAAAAATGGCAGACAATATAGTCGAAATGTCGTCTTGTGTACGTGTGTGTGTTTCTTAAACTGATAACAGTGCATGTTTAAAGCATACTAACTCACATAGCGCTTGACTCTTTGCAGTGATTATAATTTTCCACTCAATACTAATAAAATAACTATCATTTTTATCTGTTTGGCATGTTCAAAATCAATTTTTCTGTAGTGCATATGGTTGCCACATTACTAACAGGCCCAAGCCCACCCCGTAATCCACAAAATAACTCATTTTCTGCTTAATTATTCCCCTTTTATCCTTTCGAAAACAAAGAAACAAGCTTATTAGGTTTGAGACAACAAATTTACAAGAAAATTCTTCACCCATTTGTATATTGCAAAACTTTGAATATAACTTGTCATTTTATGTTTCATGAGAAGATTTTTATTTTTTGGAATTTATTTAAGTAGAGGTTTTGCGATTAGTGGTAGTGATTTGGAATTTGCATGGATGTTATTAGAGATATGGGTTTTAGTTTTTACTTTTTGTAGTACCGAACGTTTTATTAGTGCAAGTATCTAGAATTTAGTGCATAGTATTGGCAAGGGAATAAAAAAAAAAAGAAGGTTGTTAAGGAATTTAGGCAAAACATAGGTCCCTTTTCCCCTTCGATTGCCAGTTGATGTTCGTAAATAGATGTAAATTGTGTGAAGAATTCCCATGTATAGGGCTGTGTATATTTGAATAATTGAGTATTAGATTATTCTAGCTTGGAGTTTATAAACTATTCGTATTGGGCTGTTTTACGACTGATAATGTAATAACCAACGGATAACATCTGACCAACCGATAATGTCACACAAATTGACCAATATTGTATCACTAACCGATAATGTAACGAAAATTGACTTTCTGTCCATTTTTGTTACATTATCAGTTAGAACTGATAATGTAACAACAATTGACTGATAGTGTAGAACATTTTACTACATTATTGGTGATTTTTTGTTACATTATCGGTTAGTGATACAGTATCGGTCAATTTTGGTGATAATATCGGTTGGTGATACGGTATCTGTTGGTTACTACACTATCAGTTGTAACATGCGATCAAGATTAACTTGCGCTAGCCTAAATTAGCCGCAGATCCGGATTTACGTTTACCTGCACTTGTTGAAAATTGACCAAGAGCTTAATAAAATGATATAAAGAAGAGGTAGCGGAATGGCTGATATTTGGAATGTCAGACAACTCGACCATTGGGAAAACTCGACTCGAGATAGCTTGACCGTTGAGACAACTCAATCATTATCTGAAACCTACCCGATCTCTTATGTCCACCCATCCCATCTGCCAGTGAATGGGATAGCGCCATCACTTTTCAAAACTAAAATAAGCCAACCCTGTCCAGCAACCCCAGCCCCATCAACCCAGCCCGATCCGACCGAGCCAAGCAGGCTTCCCCCAACCCGTAAGACACCACCCACGGCTGGACACAGCAACAAATCCCCACGGCCAAAAAAAAAAAAATTGGCATCTCCCCATCCCGTACCTGAGCGCCAAATGCTCTCTTTCTCAGCTTGCAAAACCCCAGCATAAATGGGAGTCCCAGCCGAGCCAAACCCAATTGTATCCTGTCAAGCAACCCCAACCCAATGATCAAACCCGAACACAACAAAAAATCCCCAGTAAGGCCTACTATGAATATTCCCCGAAGAATTACGAGTAGACTTGTCCCAACGGACGACTTGTCTTTCCATTTAACGCACATACGATCGAGTGGTCCCAACGGTCAAGTTGTCTCAACGATCCAGCTGTCCCAAGTCGAGATGTCTCAACGGTCGAGTTGTCTGACCCCCAATATTTGACTGATTTTAAAGAAGAAATTTGAAGGAAAAAAACATGGAAGCTCTCAGATCATGCCCGAACGTGGCTTTTGACCAAAGTGTGGAATTTAACAAACAAAACCACGCAATTTCAAACAAATAAAAGAACAACACGGACCTTTTTCATCATCTCTTCGAGACCACACATGTTTTACGAATATCTGAACAAAAAACAACGCTATTCATATATTCAGCGGATAATCGAATATTCAAATATTCATTTTCAACACAGCCCTATCCAAGTACTGCCTGATATATAGAGAGAGAATTGTGTCTTGAAATTGTGGTACGTGTAGCATTGTAAAGCACATGCACAAAATTATTTTTCTCTTTGTTATGTCTTTTCAAAGATTGAAAAAAGAAGTTACGTTTGTTGTGAATATGGCTGTTATGTACATGTAGTAAAGTGCACAGTGTTCGTAGTGCATTTGTTCGAGTGTTGTGCCTGTTTTAGTAGTACAAGCATTTTGCTGTTCTGAAATAAAGGGTATACATATTTTATTTTTTTTATAAGGGTGGAAATTTGGGAAGTTTTTCATTTGGAAAAATACATTTTTTGGTTGGAACATATTTGGTTCGGATGGTAATTGTTTTTCACTGGTCTGATGTGAAGATTGTACTGAGCATGTTTGTAGCAGTCATCTTGGACAACTTGGAGCTGGATGAGGATTTGAAGTCCCTCAAGCATCTCAAAGCGACTGAGCAAGGAAACCTCATTGAGAAGTTACCGCTGAGACTCCGAGTATTTGAGAAATTCCCGTAAGTAGAGTACCTCATTTGTTCATCAGTTTTACTTTGATACTGTGTTGCTATTCACTTTTCATTTCTTTCTTGTTGACAAAAGTTTTCTTGAGATTTTTAGACTTGACTTGTGAGGGACTTGTGAAGGACTTGTGATGTACTTGTGGTGGACTTGTGATGGACTTGTGATGAACTTGTGATGAACTTGTGATGACTTATGATGGACTTGTGATGGACTTGTGATGGACTTGTGAAGGACTTGTGATGGACATGTGATGGACTTGTGATGGACTTGTGATTGACTTGTAGTGGCCTTGTGATGGACTTATGATGGACTTGTGATGGTCTTGTAATGACTTGTGATGGACTTGTGATAGACTTGTGATGAACTTGTGATGAACTTGTGATGAACTTGTGATGACTTATGATAGACTTGTGATGGACTTGTGATGGACTTGTGAAGGACTTGTGATGGACATGTGATGGACTCGTGATGGACTTGTGATTGACTTGTAGTGGCCTTGTGATGGACTTATGATGGACTTGTGATGGTCTTGTAATGACTTGTGATGGACTTGTGATAGACTTGTGATGAACTTGTGATGGACTTGTGATGGACTTGTGATGGACTTGTGATGGACTTGTGATGGACTTGTGATGGACTTGTGATGAACTTGTAATGGACTTGTGATGGACTTGAGAATGGACTTGTGATGAACTTGTGATGGACTTGTGATGGACTTGTGATAGACTTGTGATGAACTTGTGATGAACTTGTGATGGACTTGTGATGAACTTGTGATGGACTTGTGATGGACTTGTGATGGACTTGTGATGGACTTGTGATGGACTTGTGATGAACTTGTGATGGACTTGTGATGGACTTGTGATGGACTTGTGATGGACTTGTGATGGACTTGTGATGGACTTGTGATGGACTTGTGATGAACTTGTGATGGACTTGTGATGGACTTGTGATGAACTTGTGATGGACTTGTGATGGACTTGAGAATGGACTTGTGATGGACTTGTGATGGACTTGTGATGGACTTGTGATGGACTTGAGAATGGACTTGTGATGGACTGGTGATGGACTTGATGACAACACTGGGCTGAGGACTTTTACAATCCAGAATTGTGTACAGAAATGATTATTTTAAAATACAAACCAAAATAAACAATTGTTCCATTTTTTTATGGTTACCATTGACAGTGACAAGCCCCAGATGGTAGCCCTGTCCCGCCTGCCTTCCGAGTTTACTCTCCCAAAGATCAGGTAGGTTCCAAATTAGGCCTTGTCGTTCAGAACTTATTAGGTTTCATGTTTCTAATACACCATTGGGCAAAGATCAGTGTTCAATGCCTCTTCTACGTGCGACCCACACATAATGGACCAAAGAGCAACTTTTAAACATTTGATTATTTCAACAGTGCACGAAAGCTCCATGAAATGTTTACCATATTTAGATTGACTTGCCATCCTTTGAATAAGGCATTGGCGAGTTAAATTTGAATAAAATCTGGAACACTGACTTAAACCAATGGTTTGGACGTTTTAACTTTGCATTTTCCCGACCAAAGAGACTGTTACTATATCACGTGATTCGGGGCAAGCCTTATGCTAGCAACCCCCAGCTCCGGCATGGTCTGGTGTCTTTGTGCCATTTTCACCCATTGTGAACAATGTATTGGTGCTGAGCGTCTCTTATGTAACTATGCAAGAGCTTGCCCCGAATCATGTGATTATCAACGGTGTCTTTGGTCTGGAGAATTCAAAGTTACAATGTGCCAAGCATTCTGAGCAAGTCAGTGTACCAAATGTTTTTCAAATGTAAATCCCAAAGGGTATAGGTTACTCGCAAGTGGCTTATTGGTTTGGACGTTTCCAAGAACTGTAGATGGTACTTTTTTACCGCTTTCGACAGCCCCAGTGCGAGGGACACGCCGCGTTCACGTACCGGTTTTTGGCCTATGGCACGGAGTGTGCATGACTAATTTATTTCTGAGCATGCTCAAACCCAATCTCGTCTTCAGTGCCTACTTTATTTCCAACCTCGTTTCCAATAGTAAGCCCTGGATAGGAAACTTTCTGCCTGTATCCTGATTCGATACCGCAATTGGCTAGTAATGGATTTATATTGTGTAGTTGGTGGTGTTATTTCCAACGTGCATTACGTGTTTTCACGATCAATGTAAATATAACGTACATGCCTTCTCAAAAATGCTCCTTTCCTTTCCAGTTTGCTCATATTAATATGAAATGTGATACTGCACATTGGCAGGCGAGATTTTAACATATTAATTTTAACAAAATCTTGTTTTCATAACTCACGGCGTCAGGAATTGATGCTGTTTTTACCCTTGACACCGCATACAAAAATAAATGCTAATGTAACGCACAGGCAGGCACCAGACTATTCCACATTTGCATACGTGTTCAAATATCTTGCACATGCAAATGACCCAATGGCAGGGTGAGAGAGCAGGTAGTGGTGGGCACGTACTGCTCGACACCCTGGGGACGAGGTTGGCTTAAACCTGCATCATTGACAATGCGTTCAAATCTCCTTCCCAGTGGTCTCCCCAACTCTCCCTTAGTAACCATTGAGGGGGTACTTGTGGTCGTAGTCCATAACAAAGTTCTACTTCTATTCCACCACACAGGGATAGTTTCATCCGTCAGTTTGTGGAGACGGGAACAGACATGGAGAGGCTCCTGCGTCGATCAGTCAGCCGCGACACTCAAGGTCACACCCAGGGGGCAGTGTTGTTGACCTTACCCGACCCAGCCAATCAGCTGCGTTTGCTGCGCCGACGAGCCAAGCAACTGGTGTCCTGCCACATACCTAGTTTGGTGCATAGGAAGACCGGTATCTCCGCCATTGTCAGGTAAGGGCCAATCCAAATGTGATGCGATCAAGCTAAATGAGTCGTTTGTCTGGAATGAATCGAATTTTGTATTTTTACGTGGTTGACTAGAGCTATCTTTCAGTTTATATTTGGTGAAAACCCCATGTCAATACGACTTTCCGTTCAGAAGTTATGGGACTTGGAACACAGGCAGATCAGAAAGAAAAAAAACAGAGAAAGCAAACAGAGAAAACAACGATTCAAAATTGAGCGTTTATTAAGCAACAATAAACATGCTTTATTTCAGGTTATTGAATATTAACTCCTTAGCAAAAATGTCACATTTGATCTACTTTATCGAGAGTTTTTCTCTGAAAAAACTAGTTACCATGAAAGAGGACATGTTGCCTTCCGATTTTACAATTTTTGAAATTTCCACCCCTACTGACCAATTTTGGGCGGTATCTTAAAATCATAGTTGCCGACAAACGACTCATTTAGCTTGATCGCATCACAAAATGTTCTTGTTGAAAGCGAACAAAATGCATGAAAAGCAAATGATCCTATATGTCTTTGAACTTCAGCAGGCTACTTATTATGCACCCTTCTTAAAATTTTAAGCAATATGCTGATTTGCCTCGTTTTTCCACCCACTCGTTACAGGAACTCCGCCCATCAAAGGGTACTTAGCCTCGGCTACGGTGCTATCGGTTACCGGGGACGTATGCTAAGCGAGTATGGTTGCCGTGACCGCAGGTCGGTATATCGGTAAATATCACACACGCCTCATCCAACTTTCTCAGTGTCATATCATGTCATTTTCTCTGGTTGATCTTAGCATCCGCTGGTTACCAACATTGGAGATGGCTACCAGGATAAGCAGCGGGTACCGGTCGATTGTTTAACCGGTAACCCTGCAAAGTGATGCGCCGAGTACCGGTTCAAGATAAGACCGTTCTACTGATCGTCGATGTTGTGGAGTTGTGCGGTGCTGTGTAGCGATGAATCGTTTTCTGTCTTTCTATTCTTTTCTGCTCCATTTCATTTCATTTCATTCCATTTCACTTCACGTCATTGATTTTCATTTTTTTAAGTGTGCTTGGCCAGTTTTAAACACTCTGATTAAGACCGGTTGGAATCTGGATGCTGATTTGGCTCAGGTAATTATCAGCATCCAGACTCCAACCGGTCTTAAATATAGTGTTTAATACCGGTCAAGCACACATTTATTCCCATTCATAAATACCTTTTCGGTCAAAAAAATCATAAGTTTTCGGTCAAAAGTCTCAACAAGTCAAAAATTATAAATTTCCAACGATTTTGTTCAACAGTTTTACTTTATGTTTTTGAAAACACCCCTATAGCTATATTATGGAATGTCCGTCTCGCAAAAAGTTGTTAACTACTTATATGGAGATTGGCGTGCGCATGGCGTAGAACGCAGCTGTGCCGTTGCAGTGTGAATTTAGGACTATGAAATACTGACTCACTGGTAGTGTTGCATATGCCTATGTGAGGATTGTGAACATTCAACCAATAAAATTGTAAAAGGCACTGGATTTCATATGAGTCCAAATTTGATGTGACACTGGAAAAGTGTTTAAGACCAGCTAGCCGGTTTTCATCATGCTTTTAAAACTGGCCATGTGATGGGCTTTTGACCCATAGGGATGGATAAACTGTATTAGGTATTTATGAATGTTGATTGTAGAGTGCGGTTTTAATTAATAGTTAGCTGCACTGTTTTGTTTAACCTTTTCCCCGTAGCTTCCCCAGCAAAGTAGCAGCCAGTTCCCTGCATATCGTAGTTTCTGCCCAACGCTTTACTTAAAGTTGTGCTCCCCATGCTATTTTGAGTTTTACCCCCATAAATAGATTGTTGCAGTTGGGCAATTCCAACTTGTTAAAGAAAATGTTAAAGTCTGTGACAGAACCAATTAACCGTAAATGGGCAGGGTTATTTTGACTATCTCAAAGTCGGGGGGGGGGGAGCTCAGATCTCGGCCATCGAGTGATGAAAAATTATGAAACTCGGTACATGCATAGAACAACTTAACACAAACATACCCAAGACATTTCATGACTATAGGTCAAAGGGGTTTGGAATTATGGGTTACTAAATATTTATATATACACCAATTCTGCTTTGTGTACACTACGTATATGGGGAAATTCAGTTTTCACTACGAGCCAAAAAAAATTTCAAAATTTTTTCATAAAATCATCCATAAATCAGTTCAATCTCTGGTATAATTTCTGCAAAGAAGTAGCTTTTGCATACACACAAATGTATTCTCAGTTTAATATTCTCACTGTGCTTTTCAAAGTTCTTATTTTAAAATATAGCATTAGAACATTGTCTATGTCAGCATGTGGATGTGGTCTACACTGCCCTTCAAAGCCACTTTTTCTGGCTATGACTTGGTTCTGCATTACTGAAATGCTGCTGTCACTATCCATAGCCATACAAAAGAATGCGGCTTTGGCTAAACGATTTTTTGTTTATCTTTCCTGTGCACAGACATGGCATTGCACTGCACGGAAAATAAATAAATCTTCCGTTGAGTTTGTGGGTTATGTCTGTTGTGGTTGGCTTATTCAGTTATTTTACTGTTGGCAATATTTTATGTACTCAAAATGCACTATGGTTACTTTCTGAATGGCACAAGTTATGAATTGCCAAATTTGGATTAGTTAATTTGTGAATCTTTCAAACATTGAATCTTGTTGTGCATGTCAAAGTGATGCTGGCAAAAGTTTTGCTCAAATTGTTGCCTTTTTGGGTAATGGATTTGTGTATGCTGCACTTTTTGAATGTGTGTGCAATATTTGCAGTATTGTGAATTTGGATGGGTATTGAGATATGTTGCAACGATTCTTCATGCGATGTGAAAGAACTGGTCTTGTGCATGTAGACTGTTTTCAGGGATACTGCCAACTTTGTGGTGACGTGGTGATGTCAGGGGCATTACTACAGAGTGAGTCAAAAAACACGAAACCCAAATGTCGGGAACATTGTTTTAGTGAAGTTCTGCATGTAGCACTTTCAAAATCTCAGATATGAAAGCGCAATTCATAAACTTTCTTTTTAATAGTACAAGAATCATTCAAATCACTCATGTACTTTCCAGTTACGGAATTTTTAACGCAACCGCCATTTTAAAGTTCTGTCCACGGATCACAAAAAGGTAACTGCTCTTTCAGCTAAACAAAAACAAATCACATAGGGATGTGTGTGAATGGTTTTCATTGTGCTGAAAGAACGCACACCTTTTTTTGTCATCCATGGACAGAACTTTCAAACGGTGGTTGTGTTTAAAATTCCGTAACTTGAAAAGTACATGAGTGATTTGAATGATTCTTATACTAAAAGAAAGCTTATGACTTGGGCTTTCATATTCTAGATTTTGAAAGTGCTACATGTAGAATTTTACTAAAACAATGGTTCTGACATTTGGGTTTCGTTTTTTTTTTACTCACCCTGTATAGAAATATGTCTCGTCATGCTCGGGATACAATGGCACGATTGGATATATCTCTGTTGTTTTACCCTCTGAGATTTCTACATGACCACAAAAATACATCCCATCTTCTGTTTTGCCCTCAGAGGTCGCCACGTGACCACAAAGATGGCGGCATCCATGGAAACAGTCTATTATCAATCACTGGCTGTAGTGGATGAACAGTTTTAAGCTGTTTCGATCGCTTTGTAATTTGATTTGCTTTCTTGTATGCAGTGAGCATGATTGACATCTTTGATTGCTTTTTTTCTGCTTTATTCTCTATTGACCAATCAAGGCACGGTATACTTCTACCATGGCGGCCCCCTCTAATGGCGGAAGCATTGTGCTAGCTATTGTACAGATAATCCATCAGTTGCTTTGTGCAATAACATACACAATGTTTTCGTCATTGAAGTGGGCCTCGTGAGAGTATAGTGATTGCAAGCTTGGAGTTGTCTGTAATCAGTGGTGGGTTTTGTCGTTGCGGGAGTTTTGATTCAGTTCTTGTGTGACTCGCGCAGATTGAGGGCGCTGCGGGGGTCACTCAGAGGTCACAAGCCCATGGAGTCCATCAAAGAGAATGGAGACACTATTACCAATCGCAACGTGTCGTTCAACATCAAGGTCATACAGGAACGCAAACAGCAAGCTGTACAAAAGAGGCAAGTTGGTATTGTCTTTGACTTACTTAAAGGCACGTAGGAACACTCGTAATTACCTCTAAAAAGTACCTACCGATTTAATGAGGAAAACCTTGCTCAAAGTGAAGATAGGGCTGGTACCAAATACCCTGTGAGATTTGTTCTGCCAGAAATGGTTTTGATTGAAAGGAAACAGTCACTAAACGTTGTTTTATAAAAGTGTGCCCATGTGCATAAGCAACAGAATCCAGTAATGAAACCCAAAAAACTGTGCATCTGTTTTTTCCCGTTTTCTCACAATGTATAGTATCCATTGAGCTAAAAACTTCAACAGGTTACTTGTAATGCACCTGACTTAAGCTTTTTAGCAGTTTTGCTGTTTCAGACCAAAACAATGCATGAAGGGTAAATGATCTTTAAATTATTGTTTTCAATCATTTCAAAATTTAGTCCTAAAATACCCATAAAATGCTGGAGTAATCCCAAAGTGTAACAGGGGTATTTAGAATAACCATCAACATTTCAAATTTATAATAATATTCAGTTATTCTGTCTTGAGCTACTTCAAGTAACTGAAAATCTCAGTTGGTCTATAACAAATGGAATAAATTTTGGGACCATCATTGTGTTGAATTCCCAAAATTTGCCAAAGTAAGCTTTTCAACGTAAGATGTTTGACCTTTGACCCTGTGTAGGACTGCCAAGGAGGAAGAACTGCGCGAGAATCATCCGTACTTTGACACGCCCCTCTTCGCTGTCGGTAGAGAGAGTCGCGTTCGCAAGATCTGCAGTGCCATAGTCTATGCCAGATACAATGCGTAAGTCACGATCTGTACGGCAGTTGTTGGAGGACATGATAACACGCACTGGCTGGTATGGGTTATGATGTCAAATTGCCTCTACTCGCCTCCGGATGACGTCAAAACACTCTAATTTGTACATACATTAAGTCCGTGAAGTCTGTGGAGGTGGACCGTGTGTTGATCTTGAATTGGCCATTGTGTACGGCCTATTGTTGTACAATTTACGCTCCAGTGCACACCCAGGAGTATTGAAGCAAATATGAGGTTTCGGCAAGAAATATTGTACAAATACTGTTGAAATTACTCTTGCGAATCAGTATTTGTGGCGTTTGGCTGTGCATCAGTAGTTGGCTGGAAAATTTTGCAGTTTGCAAAAATTGAAATTTTCGGCAAAATTATTCCTGCTCGAAGTGGTTAATGAAAGACATTCTTGCGATATTTTCCATTGAATGTAAGAGAAACTACTTGTATACGGACGCCATGCCGACAGTCAAAAATTCCTATACCTAATGACCACTATACCATACATGCACAATCTTTCTTGGACCCTGTCGTGTTCATTACAGCAATGTTCTATATTGGCAATCCCAGTGTTATGAAAGGAAGTGTCATGTCCGTGACAGAGCCAATTAACAATGATATCTGATTAATGATTCAGAGAAATGATCCCAAACTCCTAGTCTGTAATCTCCTTGACCATTACTAGATGATGGATATATAAGATTTGAAAAAGACATTTCAGGTTTATTCACTGAGCTCTTAAAAGCTCTGTCATGGACATTACATAACGTTGGAATTAATGTGATTCACAATGCAGTGCGCCACCAAGAGTTTGCCATGGAGAGTTCATTTTTCCCAGCGCATTGTGGGAGATGGTCGACAAATTCGCAGTGCGTGACATTTGAAATTGTTCGTTTTTCCGGTCAGTATTTTCGTAAGCGTTTGATTGGCTTTGATCTGTTTACCCCTTTCTTTGGTTTTTATCAATATGGTGTTTTTTGTAAGGCGGCAGAATGCTATGCCCATTCCTATATCAAAATAACTCAAATTGTCTACTGACACTCATTCAAATGGGCCGTGTTTTGTCGACCGTGAACTTGAAAAATGGACTCTCCATGGCAAACTCTTGGTGGCGCACTGCATTGTGAATCGCCCGAATAGCCACATGCCAGATACAGTGCATAAGTCAAGTCTAGTTCACCCCTGCGTCTTTAATTAAGTATTTTCTATAAAAAAAAACTCGCATGGCTTTTTTTCTCCAGGACTTTAACTGATGAATCTGGAATGGCCATCAAGCGTCGATACCAAGGATTTCAGTAAGTAGCGTGTTAAAATTCAAGTTGTTGCGACAATTTTGCACACATGTCCGACATTAATCACAGATGTGGTTGGTCAAAACATCAAAGGTGTAGGGAGGGATTGGTGGAGTTTGCTGGAAATGTGCGCTTTATAATTACGCATTATTATTATTTCATCGACAGTGATTTTCTGGCCATGGTAACGTACCTGACATGGTTCTCCATTGTCTTCACCGTGGCCGCCTGTATCTCCATGATGTTTGAGGATGCGAGCGCCAGCATCATGGAAACGCCTGCTCTCCAGGTGGCCGAGTACGTCTTTGTGATCTTCATGAGCTTGGAGATGATGCTCAAGGTCAGTTTCAGAGAAAAAAAAGAAGGAAAAAATAGTTGTCACCGGCATTTTAAAAATGTTCTACTGTGAAAAACATCAGAGTTGTTTTGGCATTGTTGTATATTTTGTACAGTATAAAGCAATTAACCTATTAGGGCCTGTACTGCCCCAAAACGCCCTGCCTGTTACTCCTTATACTGCCCTAAACTGCCCCAGCACTTCATGGTTTTATGCATTCATTGAGGATATAAACAATGTATTACAGTGTAATATAATAATGGTATTACCTGTCTAAAATAGGTATTCTTGTGCTAGTTCAGGGGCCTCTCGCTGTTACCACTATCATGATAGTTTTGGGGCCACTAACCACTGTTATGATAATTAAGGAGCAACTGTCCTCTTATGTTACATCCCTCTGTCAGTCAATAAATTTCAATTTACGCCACATCTCAACAATCCGTCACTTCATTGACCAGGAAAGCTGTACTCATGCCATGAGGGCCCTAATTCTGTCTAGACTAGACTATGCCAACTCTATTTTGGATGGCTGCAACAGTTCTGACATCTCAAGACTGCACTGCACTGTGGAGAGCAGTGAAGCGTGACCGAATCTGCCTGCTTGCCCTGAGCTCAACCACACACAAGAATTGTGCAGGGATTTGAGGTGTTATCCATACTCCACAGAAGATTACCTCAAAGGAATTTGAAGTGTGAGCGCTAACTCTATGGGCAAAAGTGGTTTTGCAAAACTTGAAGGGTTGTGAAGTGCAGCAGACTAGGAGGGTTAATCCAGAGTGGCTCAACTTTCTATCAGTGAATAATTTGTCGGTGCTTTTTTGTTCTGTTGTTAGGTTTTGGCGGACGGATTGTTCTTCACCCCGAAGGCTTTGATTCGAGATGTCGGCGGCGTTTTGGATGTCTTCATCTACTTTGTTAGCCTGGTCTTCCTGTGCTGGCTGCCCAAAGACATCCCCCCTAGGTCACTGGCATACGTAAGTAACCTGCCCCATGTATCTTCGTTTGAACGTTTTTTGCATGGTTTCCATGCACAAACAGTAGTAATAATAGTCATAATTTGGGGGGCTAATCATCCTTACTCGCAGCTGACTATTGCGAAGGACGCTGCTAAAACGTAGTCAAGCCGAAGGCATGTAAAGGCGCCTTAGGCAGCCGCCATACGACTCATGTATGACCACGGAGCACAGTCAGAGATCGAAAGTGTTTGATTTTTGCGGAGGGAGGAAAACCGGAGAGCCTGGAGAAAAACCCTCATGGCACAGGAGAGAATCAACGCACAACTCTACTCACATATGGTCCGAGCCGGGAATCGAACCTGGGCAAGAGTGGTGAGAGGCAAGCGCTTAACGCACTAGCCACCCGTGCCACCTAAATACGCGGAGACGTACCATATTAACAAGAAAATCCTCGCTCATCGTGAAGATAGGACTGGTTCCAAATACCCTGTGAAATTATTCCGCCTGAAATATCATTCGGAAGAAAAGAGTCATTGAAGGTGGTTTAAGAAACTGCGCCTGCTGGCACATTTTTGTTTATGTGCGTTAGTGACAAAATCCAGTTGTTCATACGTTTTCTCTGTTTTGTGCTTACATTTTCGCTGTTTTCTCAAAAGGTAAAGTATCCACACAGCTGAAACTCCAACGAATTAGTTGATATGTACCTGCCTTCAGATTAACCGTAACTCACCTCAATCCTCCAAAATCCTCATGGTGGTCGGGAGGATTTTGGAGATTTGCGGATGAAAGGTGTTTTAGAAACATGAGGATTTTGGAGGAGTGAGGATGAATGGTGTTTGAAAGACATGTGGATCTTGGAGGATTGAGGATGAAAGCTGTTTGAAAAGGAGGATGATTTTGGAGAATTGAGGATGAATGCATTTTTTTTTAGCAGGACTGCCTGACGATTTTTAATGAGGTCAAAAATAAAATATTTCTGCTTCCGATTTCATGGTATTTGAAAATAGGGTAGGTAGGGAATTTTTTTGCCATTTTTTGTTTGTGTACAACCATAAGGAAGCATATGCGTGTAACCAAGGGTAAAAGGTAGAAATTGATGGTTTTGGGTGTTTTTTCCTCATTTTTTCAATAAAATTTTTTTAGGGTAGGGGCTGTCAGAAAAGGGTAGGTCTGAAACCAGAAGCAGAACTATTGGTTTTTGGCCTGATTGAGGCACTGGGTATCCTTCACTTCAAAGTGCAAAGTTTTGGAGGATTTTGGAGGATTGAGGATGTTCCTATCAAAAGGGCCTAGATAGTTGGGTTAAGATCAATTTTGTTGCTTCAAATGAAAACAAATACGCAAATAGCTAATGAACATATGTACCTTTAACTCAAGACTATTTGTGTTTCCTTTGCATAGATCCTAATGATACTTCGTTGTTTCCGGCCTCTACGCATTTTTACACTGGTTCCCCATCTTCGTAAGATGGTCTTTGAGGTGCTGAGAGGCATCAAAGAGATGATGCTGGTATCCATCCTGCTTCTTGCTCTCATGTTCATCTTCGCGAGCTACGGTGTTCAGATCTTCGCCAACCACCTTGCGAAGTGTAACGACCCGTTAATCGAAACGAGGGTAAAGTAGCGTCATAACTTCCGGAGAATAATTTCAAAATTCTTCTAGGTGAAGTTCGTGGAATTTGTTCAGTGGCATGAAAAGACTGAGAATATTTCTATCCCCCCCCCCCCTGAATGGGATGTCAGTCCATCGCAGGTTACTCCCCAGGTAATGCGGGTACCCATTTATACTCCTGGGTGGTGAGCAGGGGCGTAGCCAGGGTTCTCAATATAGGGGGGGGGGCTAGATGTTACAGCGGGGGAGGGGGCACCCAATTTCTGTTAAACCCATGGTCACAGGACTACCAAATTTCCAATGGGGTGGCCAACAGGGGGGGGGGGGGAGGCGACGATGATTTATGGGGACGGGTGCCCAAACCAAATTGCAGGAAAAATTTAGCCGGAGTTCCATAAAGGGCTTAAGAAATCGCCCGAAGCCGATGATGAAACCAAGAATTCGGATATGCGTTAAAAGTCTTTGCGCTACATTATAAAACCACCAGGTGGGAGTCTCTCATATGGGGTTTATTTGTATGCGATAAACAGTCACAACGTGACGGTAACAGGAATCAGGCGAACATAACTTTGTTTTGGGACTCAAGTGGTATTATAGCCTTTGACTCGAGTCAAGTCGAGTCTTCTGACGAGGGACTGGAGTCGAGTCGAATCTTTTTCTAGCAGTGAGTCACCTTGAGTCAGTTAATACCTGTTAGGAGTCGAGTCGAGTCGCCAAAAATTGTGACTTGAGTCGAGTCATTGACTCGAGTCACGACAGCTCTGTATGGATGTCCTTATTGTTTCGTATTTTAATTCCGGGCAACAGGAGCTGTGCGTTGGGAGTTTTATCCAGAACGTTTCCGTGGTGAAGTTTCGCAAAGTCAGGCCCGACGAGCCCCAGCCCGGCTTCCTTGTTCCCAGGGTCTGGTAAGCCCACCCGACTCATTTTCATTTCATTTCTGTGGTTTATAAGAAACGCATCCAAATATTTTTTGGGGGAGCCTCACTTCTTCAGATACAAAGTAGACTGGATGCCTGTCTCACTGACTGACTGTCACTTGTGATTTAGACTGGTTTATATTGTGGAGGCATTATAATTTTGAATCTGATCGTCTTATGAGGACGTTATTTATATACACCTGTGGGGAATTTTGTTAGCTACATTTTGATACCCTGTTTGCTACCAAAGACTGTTAATCGTCCAACATTGACAACAGTTTATGAAAAATTATGCAGTTTAAAAAGTTGCAAATTTAAAGAGTACGCAAGTGGAGTGGAAATTTCTGCATGACAACATTACACTGCCTGAAACGAATGGCCAGGAATATTGTTAACACGGTGCTTGCATGTATGAGAGCACACGAAATTGAATAACCTCCGTTTTGTACGGGCAGTGTGCAGTATATATGGGGACAATTACGGCCATTTATGTTTGCACGCTGAGAAATTTCTCCTTGCGTATCTCTTAAATAGCAACTTTTCAAACTGCACCGTTGTTCATAAACCGTTGTCAATCTTGGATAATTCACAGTCTTTGGTAACAAATAGGGTATCAAAATATAGCTTAAAAAATTTCCCAAAAGATGTGACGTCCTCATAAGACGATCAGATTCAAAATTATGTTGCCTCCAATGAGTGTGGACTTTCTTTTTTGGAGGTGTTTATTTGATGAGGCAAATGGAGTAAAGCTGCCCTAACAGTCCAGAATCCTTCAATTTTAGTACGATTTTGCACACCCCCTAGGTACAATTGCAGTCTTTGTTTTTGGTATATTCTCACTAAAATTGTTTTCGTTTCCTTCTGTTTGATTTTTCAATCAATATTTGATCCCCCCTTGTGTCCCTCTGTAGGGCTAACCCTCGTAACTTTGACTTTGACAATCTGGCTAATGCCATGCTGGCTCTGTTTGAGGTCTTGTCTCTGGAGGGGTGGTTGGAAGTCCGAGACATCATCATTGAGAAATGCACCTTGGTGAGTATAGATCTCTCTCAAATGACGTCACTGTCTACAGACTGCCATCAGCATTTTGGGTGTCAAATTTTCGTGACGCGTTATCGGCTGTGCCGTATTTTGAAGAAATTTGGAGCAACATAGGCACGTGTTAAGAATATTTTGCATACTGCATGTACATGCTGTCTATGAAAGAGAGTTATTGTTTGTACTGTTTTGGTTGAACCCTCATTGGTTTAATACACGATTTTAAACTGTGGACCTCCATCAAATCGTGGGCGCTATTGTCCTCTGTTGTTCAAGGTACACTATAATGCGGATACATACCCACACAAAAATTTAAAACAACTTCCATTGTGGAGCTCATAGTTTCATCCTTATTATTTTACACCAGAGGCAAATCCACCATCACAAATACCAATTTACTCATCAGGGTAGGGAAACAGTTCAGACAAATATGCACGTCATTTAACCACTGGCTAGATTCAAGCCTGAAGACCGTCAATTCCAGACACAAATCGCGAGGTCACTTGCTGGACTCGAATCGAAAGACTACTAATTTAAACCGACATCCAGACGATACTGGCTAAATACAAACCAAAGACCATCGAGCCTGACACACTAAGTACACTCTACCACAATATTTCATCTGGTAACATGAAAATATTTTTGTCTTTATTGTTTAATACAGTGGCATGCCGTCTATATTCACATCTTCGTCTTCATCGGTTGTATGATCGGACTGACACTGTTTGTTGGAGTGGTCATCACTAACTACTTCGAGAGCAAGGTATCAATCTACTGGCATATATTTACTTTTATAACACCTCACCCACAGATTCTGTATCTTGATTGGCCGAGAGCGAGTCACGCGGCATTCGCTATTTTTACCATCTTGCTGTGCAGGGCCAAAAGTACTATACCCATTACAACCAAAGTACTATACATATAGCAACTAAAATACTATACTCATGGCAACCAGAGTACTAAACATAAAAAAACAGTATTGTGTGCAAATGCATATACGGGTGTGCTCATTGCACGTATTGTTCCCAAGCGCTAGCGCTGAAGCTGGGTTCAAACATTTTGTGAAGGGGTAGTTTGCAAAAGTGCAAGTGCAAACTGAAATACACTTATTTAGATTAAATTAATCCATTATCGCTTAAAATCAAGCAGAATCTGTGGGAGAGGTGTTATAAAACAAATATTGACTGCTTTATCTTGTGGTGTAGTAAAACTAGCCTCCCTCGGTGATGTATGGAGCATTCTATTTTCCCTCAGCTTTGCCTCGGTATCATGAACTCAATGGGGAATATAGTGGTGTTCCCTAACATGGCGCACTTCGACGTTTCATCCGACTTTCCTCAAGCAGTTTTACCAAACCTCTTTGTTGAAAAACTTCAAATTCATTCTGTTATATACTGGTACTTTTACCTAATAACATTTGCTTTTGAACTTCGTAAACAATTTCAGTGTCATGAAATTAAGTCCTAAATTCCAAAAGGTTGGCATCGGGAAATTGGGCACATATTTGGCCAAGTGTTCCTGACGTAATACACGTACTATGTAGTACAGGTGCTAATAGAATAAATGGAATTAAACTTAATTCAACTAAAGAAACATGGTCACACTATATTTACATATTCCTCACTCGTGTATTTCTTTGTGTTACCAGGGTACGTCATTGTTAACCATTGACCAGCGCAGATGGCAGGATTTGAAAGGAAGATTGTCCCTAGCTCAGCCACTTCACTTGCCCCCAAGACCAGGTATGCAAAACACATTCAAATCAGTACATTGGTGTTTTGATATCAATTATGGTATAGGTTCTGAATCTAAGACATCAAAGTACCACACGACCTTCCGGTCGGTGAATTTTCACGTCAGTGAATTTTTTGTTAGATGTCTAATTCAAAAGTGAAAAACTTTTATTTTTCGGAAAGAATGTTACAACCTGACGCTACTTCAGCAGTTGTGTACAAAGTCTATGGAGAGTCAAGACAAATTTTGGAAATGTTTCTCAGTCCCAGATTCATGTCTTATCATTTTTGCAATGACTGACCTTCATTGAGATGATATATGAAGAAAAAAGCGGCGTCAGGTTGCAACATTCTTTCCTTATTTTCTAGGAAAATAGCAATTTGGGTATTTCACAACACAGTGCGCCACCAAGAGTTTGCCGTGAAGAGTTCATTTTTCCCAGTGCATTGTGGGAGATGGTCGACAAATTCACAGCGCGGGCTATTTTAAGTTGTTAGTTTGACGGGTCAGTAGTTTCGTAAGCGTATGACTGGAGTATCTGTTTGCCCTTTTCTTTTTATCAGTATGGTGTTTTTTGTCAGGCAGCAGAACGATAACCCCAATCCTTAACAAATTAGCTCAAGTTTGTCTACTGATACTCGTTCAAATGGGCCGTGTTTTGTCGACTGCAAACTTGAGAAAAAAAATGGACTCTCTGTGGCAAACTCTTGGTGGTGCACTGCATTGTGAAAAGCCAGAATTGAAAAAAAATCTATATTTCGAGGTAAAAGTAAAAAACTATTGCCATTAAAGAAGTACTGTTGTTTGCTTTGTTTGCACTGTTCAGATCATTCTTTATTCCGGGCTCGTATGTACGACATCACGCAACACAAGTTCTTCAAGCGTTTCATCGCCTGCTTGGTCCTCATCAACTTCTTTCTCCTGTCTTACCGAGTGAGTAATATGAACTTTGCCTGATGGAAAAAAGTCCAAGACTCGATGTGGATTTTCTCTAGCAAATTCAGAGCACATGTCACGCGTGCGTGCAAAAGCTTGAACGTAGCAAGTGTGAGGTATGCTTGGAATTTCACGGGTACCAGTGCCAATGTTCCTAAGACTGCATTTGATTTTTCAGTTAAAAATAACAGCTGACTTGTTGAAAGTCATCAGAAATAAACTATATTTCCATAGATTCATTTAGACATCCATACATACATTTATTTCTATATTGCTAAAAATGATCAAATAAGTCGATGAACAAATATAATTAATGAGAAAGTGAATAAGGAACATGAAATACACAAATAAATAAAGAGTACGAAATAAAGAAGGAAAGGAGCATAGCAATACTAAATTAATCAATTATCCCTAACCTTGTCAAATCCTCCAAATCCTCTTTGCAAAATGGATGATTTTGCAGGATTGAGGCTATATTATGGCAAAAATGTGTGGCTGGTTTTGGAGGATGCACGGTGTCAAGGTTCATAATTCCTTAAAATTGTCCATTTGTACAGTACTTGATAACTGAGAATATTCATATTTTGTTTGGATTAACCTTTCTTAATCGCAGTGGGTAGACCCCACCCAAGAAGCCTCCCAGGCATCCAAGGCCTTGGCGAGTGTCTCCGTAGTCTTGACGAACATGTTCGTCCTGGAAGTCATCTTGAAATGCATCTCCCTGAGTCCCATCGGCTACTGGCACAGTCGACGGAATCGCTACGACCTCTGCGTGACTGTGATGGGGGTCGTCTGGGTCGCCGTACACATCTGGAACGAGGTAACCGTGGTAACGGGTTGAATTCATGATGCAAGACAATATGGAAATACAGCGGAATGCCGCTATACCGATCACCGCTATACCGAACATTCGGCTATACCGAACATCATCCTTTTGGTACAGAATGTACCAAACATTGTTGTTGACAAAAGTCAACAGATTAACAAAAAATCTACCGGTTTTACGTGTATTAAACACTATTTTTGCCCACTTATTTCCGAACGTCAAACGACCCATAGTTACATCATGTTTGAATGTTGAAGAGCGATAATTATCTCCCAAAGGAATAGAAGGGAAAACCACCCGTTGCTAAAGTTTCGTGATGACTCCTCGTGCAGCCACGGGATGTGAGAAATGCCAGAAATCGCTATACCGAATGATTGTTATTACAAACACTTTCTGTGGATCCCACGATGTTCGTTTTGGACTCCGTGGGCCAACGAAAGAGGGCGCCCTTTTACTTAACAACGACGTCCCATGGGCGGGACATTTAGCTGGTTGACGCGCACCGTTCCTTGTGTGTGATGCACGTACACCAGGGGATTTGCACTATGTACACGCAGTGGTACGGCCGCGCGTCGCGGCAAAATTGCAGTCAGGCAAGATGGCGTCGGTCGGTCACCTCCAATTGTGCTTTCTTTGCCGGTGAGGGGGTACTTGTGAACGGAGTGGATAGCGGCATTCCACTGTTGTTGACTTGAAGCTTTGCATGGTGGATGAGACAAATTAGAAAGATTGCGGGTAACACCATGTGGAAAGAAATCTCTTCTTGGTTCTAAAAAGAACCTGTTGGTTGAGTGTAGAACTCGAGGTTTCGGACAGTGTGCTCTGCCCGTCCTCAGGAGGTTGAGTGATGAGATGTGGACGATGAGTCCCATCTAATCACTCAACCTCCTGAGAATGGAATTTCTTTCTTCCTTTTTTTAATTTTTAAAATCGTCCTCAAATTTCTATCAAAAATGGACGGAAAAAGTTACCATCCACTTTTTGATGGAAATTTGAAGATAATGTCAAAAAGCAGTGTGAATAATCAACTCAAATTATCTTTAGCAAAAGGCTGCATGTCCATTCATGTGTTGAAATTCTTCTTTCGTGGTTTCACGACAAAAAGTGGCCCCCTTTATTGTGATTCTTGTCAAAGCTGCATGACTTCTCATGGTATTTTTTCCTTGTCCTCCCCAGCAAAGCATGCCCAGCACCCAACCTATCCACATACCCATTGTTCCCACCCTCTACTTGTGATTACTTGAGTTAGATGAATACATTGTGTCTCGCATGCTGCCCTGTGTTCAGAGCCGTCTTGTATCTGCATGAGTAATGAACCCTGGTGTCGGTGTTTTGTAGTGAGTAGTTTTGTGTCTTAAGCCGCCCTCAGGTTGACCTTGCGATGACACTGAACAGTCGGCGACTGACTTTTCAGGATCAAGCTGCGCCTGAGTTACGACCGTCGGGAACATTTCAGTTGCCAGTTGTTCAGTTCGTGGGTGACATGAGCATGGTTGTGATTGTTCTGTGTCGAGATGCTGTTTGTTCCATGATAATCACACATTTTCTCGGCTTTTTGACCTGAGCATTATTTTTCTGCTTGATGCTGACGGTTCCGTCGCGGCGCAAGCAAATCGCAGGTCGAACTGAGGCCGGCTTTTCTTTTATATTCATGCATTGGTTTAGTTTTGACCAACATCCAAAGACATCTAGATGAAACTATTTCGATTTTAATTGGATCTGACTTTTTTCAACTTTATTTCCAAAATTCCGATTTTTCTGACGATCTTTCCCTGGCAAAGTCGATTTTATAAATTAAATTAATAAAGAAAAGTCCGGATATTGATCATGAAGTGTACTGTACATACGTACATGTACATGTGTAACTGCGGCGCGACCCAGATTTTGGACACGGATTTTTGTTTGGCTATTACGATTGGTTTTGCACCACGTGTTGTCAGCATGCTAGACTCGTACCGATTATGCTTGATCAAACCTAAGTTTTCCGCATAGACTCACTGCATTCACATTGTACGACAAACGATAGTTTCAAAGCTGAGTGTACTGGTGTGCGAGTCTCGGATCATTGTGTATGCACTTTCCCAAGACGATTATCATGCTAGCGTGATACACAAGTGTATGTATTGTACATTCATTGTCGACATACATAACATGTTTGTATTGCAATTTGAGTATTTGTGGTGTTTTTCGATCAAGTCAAACATTTTGATCATGGAGCAAAAACCCACTGGCGTCCGTGTTCATACGTTTGTTTTGGTACTGTATTGTAGGTATGTTTCATCCAAATAAGTGGCCATTCAATTGAGATAGTTTTGACGCTGCTTGAGTAATTTTCATGTTTGTTTAATCTTTTGATTTCAGAGTCAGTTCAGTTACGCCTTGGGCTCTGCGGTGATCCTCTTCCGATTCTTCACAATTACCGGCAAACATGTGAGTATTACATGAAAAATGAGGTTCCTTTGACTTTTTTTCAACTTAAAAATTCTCTGTTGAGGTCCATGCATGAATGATAGGTGGTGCTTCGTTATCACTCGCAAGTGCTCCGGTGTGGGAGACACACTGCGTGCGTGCACAGGTTCCCTCGTATATTGCGAGAAGTACACATGACTCATGTTATTCTGAAAGTGCACAAATGCGTAGCGTCTTCACGTGAGGGTCTGGCGCCGTCAGCAATGCGTTCAAGGTACCTCCCAGTGGTCTCCCCAACTTTCTCTTTGTAACCATAGAGGGGGTACTTATGCACGAAGTCTATCACATTGTCACGAAGTCTATCTTAGTTCAATGAAGGCAAGTCTGTGTTCTGCAGCCAGGAGGAAAATTGCCAAAAAAGAAGCAATTTTTTTATAAAGTCTCTTGGGAACTACATCACAGTACATAAATGTGTATTGTGTTGGCCTCATGATCTTGATCATCAAATTCAAAATCTGCGGGTAATTCTGCAGGTTGTGGTTCCAGTCCAGCCTGGGGTTATGGTGTGTGTGCCCTTCCTGGGGTTATGGTGCTTCTCCCCACCCAGGAATAAATGGGTACCTGCTAGGCCAGAGATGGTTATTGTGATTGATTTTAGCTGCTTTGCACCGAAATGGCAGCATCGAGCTGTATACTCCCCAGGGATCTGTGATTGTCTTTGGAAAGTTTTATGGGCGCAGTGAGCAAGGGTAGTAATCATATTGTGGGTGCATATTTAGCATTTTATACCAAAGGTCAAAGACCTTTACAGTTATTACTCCTATTCATCAGGCCATCAGGCAATGAGACCATTTTTTTTCTGCAGCAGCTTAGATCAGCACAATCTGGTCTCTACCCTCACATGTACCCATTTATACTACTAGGTGGAGAGTTGTAGTAAAGTTTCTTGCCCAAGAACATTAGCACCGTGTTCCCCATCAGCATTCAAACCCAATTACCACGGCGCATGAGTCAAACACCTCAACCATTGAACCACTGCGCTCCACACAATATGTGTGCTTTATTAATACACTTTTTTTTTTTGTATTATTAAATTACATGTTTTTTATTGTATTTTTGTCTTGTAGCCGACACTGAAGATGTTGATGATGACGATCGTTGTGAGTATGGTCAAGAGTTTCTTCATCATCGTTGGCCTGTTCATTCTCATCACGTTCTACGCCTTCACGGGCGTGGTGCTCTTTGGAAAAGTCAAGTACGGCGAAATGCTGAACAGGTGAGTGGAATTGAATGGACACTGCAGTCCCAAAAGAACACTTTGGGGCTCTAAACAGCATTTCTCCTGAAACAATGATAGTTGGAAAGATCCTAAGTAGTAGAATATAAACGATCACGCAACTGTACTTTGAAAACTGACGATTCCGTGTGATAATCAGGCAAATGTATATTGGTCTAAAAAATATTGGTCCTCTACGATATTTAATCCAAGTAAGCTCTCTGATAATATTCCGCACCAAGGTTACTTATATGCAACTGATCCTATCTGCTCCATTCACAAGTACCCCCTCACCGGCAAAGAAAGTACAGTTGGGGGTGACCGACCGACGCCATCTTGACTGACTGCAATATTGCCGCGACGCGCGACTGTACCACTGCGTTTACATAGTACAAATCCCCTGGTGTATGCGTGAAACACACAAGGAAGGGTGCGCATCAACCAGCTAAATGTCCCGCCCATGGGACGTTGTTGCTAGGTAAAAGGGCACCCTCTTTGTTGGCGCACGTAGCCCATATACATTTAAGTTGTTATTATGTTATTATTATAAGTGATGTCATGTTTTGGATAATGTTTTCGTTCCATAGACATGCTAACTTTGAGCACGTACCCAACGCCATCGCCGTGCTGTTCCGCATTGTCACTGGAGAGGACTGGAACAAAATCATGCATGACTGCATGGTAAGCAGTCTGATTTCATTTGATTTGATTTGATATGATTTGACTTGATTTGATGTGATTTGACATGATTTGATGTGATTTGAATTGATTTGATGTGATTTGATTTGATTTGATTTGATGTGATTTGATTTGACTTGACTTGACGTGACGTGACGTGACGTGACGTGACGTGACGTGACGTGACGTGATATGACGAGACGTGACGTGATATGACGAGATGTGACACGTGACGTGATTTGACGTGATTTGATTTGATTTGACTTAATTTGACTTAATTTGACTTGATTTTAATTCATTGCTTATAATAAACTAAAGAGTCTTGAAAGTAAGTCTCAAGACTTTACGATAATGCTGTCAAGAATCAAGAGTCAATTTCGTTGTTGAACACCAAAATTGTAATAAAAATCGGTATCCTCTCTGAGTGATCCCCGTTTGCTATTTCCCAGGTTTGCAACATTGCTAATGTTGTTAGCATCGTGACTTTGGGCGTGACCCCTGGCTGCATGGCATATACAGGTTTATGGCTTCTGACTAGCGCCCCTTGGACAAAGACATTGACAAAATGGGGAACCGCCAACATAGGGCTGGATAGCTCAGTTGGATAGTTCATATTTCTATACTTACCTTGTTTGACACTACGTTTATGCAAAAGCAAGACTTCTAAATAACACACCAAATTGGTGATTATTGATAACATTTACAATTACAGAAATGACTTTTGATTTATCCATTAATGATATTGTTTCAATAGATCAGCCCGCCATATTGCAGCAGAATCGGTCCCAATTATTGGCAGACAGATTGTGGGAATGTCACTGCGTCACTTCTGTACTTTGGCTCCTTCTATGTCATCATTGCGTACATCTTCTTGAATCTACTCGTTGGTAAGTTGTACTTCTCCACTCAGCCTCAGTGATGCACTGTGCCTTAACCAGATCACGTCAGAGGCCGTGATGACACGCACTGGCCGTTTTGAAACACAGGCATTGCTGATGGGTTAAGACGTCAAGATTGCTTCGACTTGCATCTCGGTTAGGTCTAAACACGCTAATCCCTCGTGCCTTTTGTACACACACACAAAGTCTGTGGAGGCGGACCGTGTATTGATCTTGAATTGGCCGTTGTGCACGGCCTATTGTTGTACAATTTACGCTCCAGTGCACACCCAGAGTATTGAAACATATGAGGTTTCGGCAAGAAATATCGTACAAACACTGTTGACAAGACTCTTGTGAATCAGTATTTGTTGCGTTTGGCTGTATATCAGAAGTAGACTGGAAAATTTTGCCTTTTCTGAAAATCGAACTTTCGGCAAAAATACTTAACAAATTTTGAATTAATTGCAGCCTAACAATAATAAAGGGTAGACTGGTTCCCGTCCCTTATCAGAATAGATAACACAGGGCTGGGAACCAGTCACAGGGTAGATCTCTTCATTTGCAAAAGCTACCCGAAACAAAACACCTTTAGTTTCAGAGCGTTGCAAATGCCAAAAATATGAAAAAGTAGGTAAAATTTGTCAGGAGTAAAAAGAAATTGTTGAATTTAGACAATGAGGCTCCGATATTTGATCTGACTGCCTTGTTGTCTTTGATTGATGTCGCAGGTATCATCATGGAGAACTTCTCGCTCTTCTACTCCAACGAAGAGGATGCGTTGCTTAGCTACGCAGACATCAAGAACTTCCAGATAACGTGGAATACCGTCGACGTCGGCAGAAAAGTAAGCATCTCCAACCGCATGACACCTGTATCAAGATTTGATGTATAATTACGTATGTTTAAGGCCTCCCAAGATGGCGTCCAAATTACATTTTACTATGCAGTCTGTATGGTGCATCATTTGTTTACGTACGGTTTAGGCCTCCCAAAATGGCGTCCAAATTAATTTTGACTATAGTGCTGCATGGTGCGTCATTTGGTTACATGCGCTTTAGGCCTCCCAATATGGCATCCAAATTACCTTTGACTATAGTGCTGCATGGTGCGTCATTTGTTTACCTACGGTTTAGGCCTCCCAAAATGGCGACCAAGTACTTCTGACAATGATGCTACATGGTGTTTCATTTGTTTACTTACGTTTAGGCCTCCCAAAATGGCATCCGAATTACTTCTGACTATAGTGCTGCATGGTGTGTCATTTGTTTATGTATAGGGTTTAGGCCTCCCAATATGGCGTCCAAAATACTTTTGACTATAGTGCTGCATGGTGCGTCATTTCTTTACGTACAGTTTAGGCCTCCCAATATGGCGTCCAAAATACTTCTGACTATAGCGCTGCACGGTGCGTCATTTGTTTACGTTTGGTTCAGGCCTCCCAAAATGGCGGCCAAATTACTTCTGACTATGATGCTTTTTTTTGTTCTCTCTGGAGGGAGTGATCCCAGTGAGTAGAGTCAAGTTTGTCTTGCGCTTGCTCCGCGGCCGTCTTGAAGTTGACATGGATAAGGATCGTCTGTTGTATAAGCACATGTGCTGCGAGATTGAGAAGATGAGAAACGGTCAAGACGTCACGTTTCACGACGTGCTCAGGTGAGACGATGAAGCAAGATAGATCAGTTAAACAATTGAGTGCACATCTGCGCTCAAGATCAAAGATACATACGCATCAATCAGAATGAAAGAATCGGCCAAATTTGATAAAGTTACGAGTTTCTTGTAGATTAACCCTACCCCTCTAGGTTGTTTTGATTAGAAACCTGCCAAATGCAGCAACATGCAACACTTGTCTAAATGACAAGCCTGCCCAGTGCAGCAAGATCCATCAGGTCAAAAGTCTCAAGGCCAAACTGCCTCAGAGTCTGTGGTCACCAACTGCCTCAGTATATAACTGTGGCATTGTTCAATGTGACTAGCTCTCATTGTTTCAGAATTGGCCGTTTATGCACTGGTGTTGATGGCTCAATGCAGCAAGGTCACACCGACTTTTACACCGGATGCACCGTGTTGCGTCTGGCAGGGTTAGGGTCAAAGATGGCAAAACACAACTTTTGTATTAGCAATCAAACAAATGTTCATGATAGTCTGTAGAAAAGAGTAAAATTGGAGACAAGTTTGTCATAATTTCAGTTTTTGTTGTTATTTAGTGTGTATTTTCTAATTGTGTTTTGTGGACAGTATGTTGTCTTATCGGTCTGTGGATATCCGTAAGAGCCTTCAACTCGATGAACTCTTGGCACGAGAGGAGTTGGAGTATAACATCGAGGAGGAAGTTGCCAAGGAAACCATCCGTACGTGGTTGGAGAAAGTCTTGAAACGAATGAGGGCGGTATGTACAACGCATATCGTAAGTTTCTTAATATTGGCTTTAGATAGGTTTTCCCACTTGTGCTCCTGGAATACCAAATAATGTTGTGCATCTTTGTCCCATATACGAGTCATTCTACAAAGTTAAGAGTTCGAAGTGTGACAATTTTTCCTGTCCCTGTTACTTTGGTACTGAGTAATTAATACCATTCACGTATAATTAAGAATGACTTCAAAGATTTTTTATTTGTTGGGTATGTAGTTTGCTATTCATAATCATTCTTGGAGGACGACTGCATTAAGAATTATACAATCATAGATGTCAGATGTAACAGGGACAGGAAAAAAGTGGACCCCATATTTATAGAATGACCCATGTGGTATACGGAACACACTGTTGCCATGGATCAACCAATCAGGCTCGAGCATTCGAGTTTGCTTCGAGAAATATTTTGTTATATTCATAGTCATATAGCGTGTGACTTATTTTGTGTGACTGCCAAGAATTTAAAAACTAAGAAAACCAAAACTCGTTTTGCTTTTTCCTGGACAAAAGAAGAGTTTATATTGTTTCTTATTGTTACCAAGTCCTTTTAAAGCTTGATATTTCTTAAAAGTTTTCCTAAATTTTCTTTAAAATCTTTTGACAGAAAGAGAAATCGCATATTCAGATTCCCAACTTCCTACTGGGTTCCTTGACCAATGAGAGGGAGACGCATAAAATCCTGGATGTCCCAGCATTCATTGAGACAGCTGCTAAGGACGACGTGAAACCTGAGGACAAAGAAGGCAATGAGAAGTTGAAACCTTCGCCGGAGACCAACAGAGACCAGGTCAGATAACAACTAGCCCTAACCGTGCTAAATGCAACATAATGCAACAGTAGTAACATTTCCATCTTGTTGCATTTAGCATGGCTACTGTTCATGGTGCCAGAGATGTTGCAACATAATCAACTGTTGCATTTTGTTGCATTTAGCAGGGAGACCAACAGCTAAATGCAACGGAAAGCAACATAATGCAGAAGTGGTAAACATTTGTTGCATACTTGTTGCATACTTGTTGCATTTAGCATAGTAACTTCTCATAATGCCAGAGCAGTTGCAACACAATCAGCTTTTGCATTTTGTTGCATTTAGCAGAGAGACCAACCAACACAGACCAGGTCAAACAAAAAGTTGCCCTAACCATGCTAAATGCAACAGAATGAAACAGTGGTAAAAAGTTTGTTGAATGCTGATGCATTTAGCAGTCAATATGAGTTTCCATGCGTTGTTGCATCTTGTTGCATAAGCATGGTTACTGCTGGTTATGCCAGGGCTGTTCAAACAGATTCCACTGTTGCATTTTGTTGCATTAACCATGGTTCTCATTCAGATGTAATGGGTTTTGTTGCATTTAACAAGGTACCTGAAGAAAAGCTGATGGGGGGGTTAGACTTGGATTGATTAGATTGTACTTAGTGTTTTTTTTAATTTGCAACAACTGATTTTCTTTTCTTTTGCTTGACCCAGGACCACCCACCCCAGAGTTCACCAAGTCACAAGTTACTCGTCCCCACCCTCTCTGAGGGCGGAGCTAACAAACCAGACAGTGATGATCAGGGGGCGGGCCTTAGGGTCAGGCGACAGGGACGTAGACTTCAACCAGGTGAGACATTGATAATTTTGTACTTAAAATCCACCTATTTATGTACATATGGTCCGTAGGTTTCAATTCCAAGCACTCTGTGTAGCACCCGGCACCAGTTTCTGTGAAACTGTGGATATGGGTTCTTCTTTAGTACCTAGGTTCCACATTTTTATGTCTGTGGTTTTGTTGTATAGGTTCTACATCAAGCATCTCGTGCAGCCCCATAGCTCAGTACCACTCTCTGTTAGACTGTAGTTATGGGTTCTATTTTAGTACTTAAGTTCCAAATTTTGATGTTTGTGATTCTATTCCATATTCAAAGTACTCTGTGCAGCAACCCTAGCCCAGTTCCACCATGGGTTCTTTTTTAGTACTTAAGTTCAGTAGTGTGATGTTGTTCTATTCCGTAGGTTCTACTTCCAGCACCCCTTACTGTTAGACTGTGGATATAGGTTTTGTTTTTGTACTTAAGTTCCACGTTTTAATGTCTGTGGGTCTATTCCATAGGTTCTACTTCCAGCACCCCTTGCTGTTAGAATGTGGATATGGGTTCTATTTTAGTACTTAAGTTCCACGGTTTAATGTCTGTGGGTCTATTCCATAGGTTCTACTCTAGGCACTCCATGTAGCACCCCTATCTCAGTGCCACTATGGGTTCTTTTTTAGTACTTTAGTTCAGCAGTGTGATGTTTGTGTTTGTATTCCATAGGTTCTACTTCCAGCACCCCTTACTGTTACACTGTGAATTTGGGTTCTATTTTAGTACTTAAGTTCCATGTTTTAATGTCTGTGGTTCTATTCCATAGGTTCTACTCCAAGCACCCCATGCAACACCCCCTAGCTCAGTGCCACTATGGACATTTTGTTTAGTACTTAAGTTCCACATTTTGATGTCTGTGGTGTTATATTCCATAGGTTCTACTCCAAGCATCCCATGCAACACCCCTGGCTCAGTGCCACTATAGGTTCTTTGCTTAGTACCTAAGTTCCACATTTTGATGTCTACGGTTCTATTCCATAGGTTCTACTTCAAGCACCCCATGTAACACCCCTAGCTCAGTGCCACTATGGGTTCTTTGTTTAGTACTTAAGTTTGACATTTTGATGTCTGTGGTTCTATTCCATAGGTTCTACTCCAAGCACCCCGAGCAGCACCCCCAGCCCAGTCCCACTCTTCCCTAAGACGGTCAAATCCTCCATGGTCTCCTCCGCCACAAAAGACGTCCAAGATTGGTGGAAGGAGCAGCTCCGATACGACAGCGGATCGGAAGAAGATTGAGTAAATCTCAAAAAAAGGAAAGTTTTTTTTATGTAAAGATTGTTTCTAGTTGTGCCTGTACGCATTTCTGTGATTATGTCACTGAATTGATGACTCTGTATGTCAACCTAGTTTGTAATGATGCTGTTGGGACTGAAAAACATTCTAAAAAAAGACAAGTAGAGTTTGGACTCTGTGCATGAACGTAGAGGGTGCTTTGCGACTATTTTTGAGAGCCCATGCAGTGGGAGGGACGCACTGTACTGGTTCGCCCAGTTTCTTGTAATTAATGATCAAGTTTTTCTAAGATTGGTATTTGCTTGTTGAAGACACTTTTCTTGGTTGTTTGCGATTTTGTTGTAAAGATACAGGAATTGACTTGTGTGAAATTGTATTTATTGAACTGTACACACACAAAAAAGAAAGTTGTTTTGATAGACACCGTGGAAGAATTACCATGTTTATGCTTGTATAAGTTTATTTATTTGCGAAAGTCAGAGGTAAATTGGTTTCAAATGTTGCAAACTTGCCGCTTTACTGTAGATTGGCGGTTACACAGGTTGTGCATTGTAAACTAGACGCGGCTTATTGTTGTGTAAAATAACCGTGAATGCTTTATCAAATGTGCCGTTTATGGTTGTCATAATCGTACCGACCCACCTCTGGGTGTTGGCTCCGCGTTTTTCTCAAAGTTTTTGGCATCCATCACAGCTTTGAAGGCTTACCTATACTATGTATTTTGAGATGCGCTGTATGACCTTTGCCTACTACAATGGCAGCACTGACTTTTTGGTACCAGATGTAAGCTGGGTCATGTGTGGCAGTACATGTACTAGTCCGAAAATGTTGGACTCTCAGTACTGTGTATGAGAGTCCTAAAACTTTAGGTATTGAAAACATGCAATACTTGAAAATAGACTGGCACATGAAACAACCAGTCCAACACCCCTTTAGTACTGCATCAGTCAACTGTGTCAAAAGAAACATCTGGTACGTAGTCTCTATTTCTACACATTCTTTATGGTCATGCCACCAGACTACTGAAGGGTCAAACGTTGCAAAAAGTTGGACGTGCACCAGTCTAGTTTTTAGCTTCAAATTGAAATCACCTGGCTTCACTCTCAGGTGCAAAATGTTAAAGAAAGGTCTCTTTTAAAAATTGAATTGAGACCTCAATTTTGGCTGGTGAAATACTGAGGACCTTATCTTTGCCCCATAAAAATTGTGGAGAATTTTGTTGGCTAAAGAGTGAGTTAAGTTGGTCTGATCTTTTTCTGTACTCGAGGTCCCCGACTGTGCATGTACATGTGGCAGACCGCAGTACACGAACATGTGTATGTCCAATTTTGCCATAGTTTTTTTTAAATTGTATTAAACAGTAATTCCTACATGTTTAGTATAAATTTGACAACTCTGTTTACAAGCATGTTATATTTATTGTGACAGTATTTGTCAGTACTTCTTAAATCTATTTATTTATTTATTTATTGAATAACAATATCAAAATTATATGTTTGCATGGAAAATAGTAGGCGGTAAGTTATGTTCTCTACATATTTGGAAATGTACTTATATTTATTTATTTATTTATTTGTCAGTATTGGAGGATAGTGTATATATGTGTACCTTGTCTGGCAAGTTGTATTATTGAACTGTACACAAAAAAGAAAGGAACTAAATGCTATAAAATCAAATAGGACAGAAAGTTATGTTCTCAACATATAATTAGAAATGTGTTATTTATTTATTTATTTATTTATTGGTACTTGGTGGAAAATGTTTTCAAGTTTAAGAATGGTTACTCAAAAATGTATGTGGCAGTTATTTAAAAAGATGCTTTTGCAGGGTATGTGTGAGGGATTTGCAATGTGTCTGAAAGATGGTTGTATAAATTAGTACTATTTATATATGTGTAATTTTCTTTTTAATGAGCATGCCAGGTTTGTTTGTTCGTGCTTCCATTTGTTTATACTTTTGTTTTTTAATGTAAATGGTAGTTTATTGTTGCGTGTGCTGCGGAAAACATTATGTACAACTATTACTGTTATAGTGGATTATCTCGATACAGAAATATATTATAGAACCTTGAAGTTTGTTAAAACTCTTATTTATGTGTATGTAGAGAAAAGACTCAATTGATTTATAAAGATATACAATATAACAGTTTCGTAGTGTTATTTTTTAACATATCTGACAGACCTTGAGAAAATATGTAGTCCAAATTAGATGTAAATTTTATTAGTCGTCGTCGGTTTTAATGTCAAGGTCTCGGAGGGATCAGATTTTATCAGTTTACACATTTCTCTTTATATATTTTATCAACCTTGAAAATTCTTCTAAGATAATCGCTTAGAATTGTAATATCATTACCACACCTTATCCTCCTTTTGGAAAAACCCGGACGACTAACTGGTAGTTTTTTCTACTCGGCCTCACCAGAAATAAAAAATAATAATAATAATAAAATAATGTTTTTTTTTTAATGATTACTCCCCGTCTGGTATTATTGAAATAGTTCCTTGTTTTAACTGTGATTAACCAAATATTATAAGCTTCAAGATTTAAGTGTCGTTCATTGAAAACCATGTGATATTTTGATTTATGGATTAGTTATTTTTGTGGACGTGAAAAACCGTCTTGCGGTCGGCAAAACATTTTTATTGTGTAGAATGGTGCATGGGTGAACGGACGCCAAAATAGTTTTTTTTAATAACTATGATTAACCAAATATTAAAAGCTTCAAGATTTAAGTGTCGTTCATTGAAACCTATGTGATACTTTGGTTTATGGATTAGTAATTTTTGTGGACGTGAAAAACTGTGTCTTGCGGTCGGCAAAACATTTTTATTGTGTAGAATGGTGCATGGGTGAACGGACGCCAAAATAGTACGGTGCTATTGCATATAAAACTGTGTTCTAATGAATCTATTTATTGTTCTGTGAAAAGCTTGAATCGAATTTGCTATAGATCAACGTTTACATTTAGAGACCACTTTTATTTGTGAAAAGGTTAACATGACTATATTTAGTATTATGTAAGTTTAATGAAAATAAAAGTTAATAAATGTCCATGTATTTAATCGTCCAAGGAATTAAATTACATTACTACAAAAAAGAATTGCTTGTTGAATCCTTTTTTGGGGGGGGGTGTTTTGATTCCGTTAAAGGGAAGATACAACATTTGCAAACATCAAAAAACGAAATGATCAAATTATCACGAAATACCTTACGGAATTGTTAGGGACTGACAGTCTAAAGCATCCTGTAAAATCGTGGTTCCTGGTGTGCTGACATTTTCAAGAAAAACTGTATTTTTCCAATGCTGGTCGGCCGACCAGCGTTGGAAAAAACTGGCTTTTTTCAAAAACTGTTCCTATTTTTTTCATATTTAGTTATTCCGCATTTTCTTTGCAATAGCCTACACACCTGTGAAGGGGTACAAACCTGCTAGAGTGATTCTTTGACCTTACAATTCCCCAAAGTCTTTACGTTTCTCCGTTTCATCTAATAAGTGGGGTCGAAGAACCAGACTACAAGAAAATGATTGGTTTTCTTGGTTTTTCCAGCATAAACAAGCCCAAAACGTGAAACAAGTCAGTTTAACAATATTTGCTATAACATATTAATCCTCCAAATCCATTTATTTCTGAAATTTGCCTCAAAAGCAAATGTTCCCTTTAAGGTTTGTTTGGTTTTGCGCAACGAGTGTGTTTATTTGCAGATATTCTGTAGACACTGATTTCATTTAATTTGAGGCAGCATTTTACCAAGTTGACTCAAAAATTACCCGTGACAGTGTTATTCTTTTCTCAATATTCAAAACGCTTTCGTTACCAATCATGACAACTGAGTGTCAAGGGTGGATCCGGGGGGGGGGGGTGGCGGCAAAGGGGGTCATGCCCCCCCCCCAAAAAAAAACCGATGTGACATCGCAATAAAGGCAGGCAATGAGTACACCACCATCTTTTCCTCCAAAAAACATTGGTTAAAGTGGTCAGATATTGCCTCAGATCGCACCACAGAGCATCTACAATCCAAAAATTATCGGGGCCCTTAAGCGGGCCCCGAACCCACGCCGTAATTTTTTTTGACCCATTTTTTTGGGGGGACCAAAAATTTGTTTGGCCCCCCAAAAAATTGTGTTCTGGATCCGCCCTTGACTCAGTGTAGGCGAAATTTCAATCAAAAATATATTAATACAACAGGTATTTCATGAGTAATCGTTCGCCCAACGTGCAAATTTGCTCTGTTCAAAACAGGATGAGTTAAAAAAAGAAAAGAAAAAAAAAAGAATAAGTGCGAATGCACAAGTTCTGGCCGTGTTGCAATAAGTCTTGCATAAAAGTCTTGCATGAAATTGATCAAAATGTATCAGCGCCAGAGCTGAAAATGCAACGCCGATGGCACATATGGAACACCATATTTTTGGTCAATTTTCCGGGGACATACGGACAGACGGACGGACAAACCATCGGGTTGACCGACCGACCACTAAGTGACATGTAGAAGCTCCTGCCAGAGCTTAAAACAAAGGAAACCCAAATAGCAGGTTTTTTAAAGGGAAGTTCTGTCAGCGCTTTTCAGATTTAGGATGTGAAAGTCAAATTGATAACCTTTCTTTTACAAGAATCACTTCCCATTTACTCAGTATTTCGTGAATATTCATTTTTCGTGCATTACATAATATTTTGTGCATATTCGTTTTTTAACAGATAAACAAAATCACTTGAAACTGGAGAGGAATATTGTTAAATAATAATTAAAATAGCAAAACAATGTGTTTTAAACACGGAGGAAAACCTATCAAATAAAGCGATCCTTATTTATTTTTTTCAAAAGAGGGCGCACTACACAAATAGTGTTCATCACCGTAAACGAATTTTTATCCACACATGAATTTGAAACCCAAACCCATTTCCCATTTCCCTGAGCAAAAAGAAAAACGGATTACCGCAAACCCGTTTCCCACTCACTACGCCGAAAAAAAAAAAAACGGATAACGAAACCCATTTCCTAATTCCTAAGCAAAAAGAAAAAACGGATATTCAAACCATTTCCTAATTCCTAAGCAAAAAGAAAAACGGATAACAAAACCTATTTTCTAATTCCTAAGCAAAAAGAAAAACGGATAACAAAACCTATTTCCTAATTCCTAAGCAAAAAAGAAAAACGGATAACAAAACCATTTCCTAATTCCTAAGCAAAAAGAAAAACGGATAACAAAACCATTTCCTAATTCCTAAGCAAAAAGAAAAAACGGATATTCAAACCATTTCCTTATTCCTAAGCAAAAAGAAAAACGGATAACAAAACCTATTTCCTAATTCCTAAGCAAAAAAAAACCGGATAACAAAACCTATTTCCTAATTCCTAAGCAAAAAAGAAAAACGGATAACAAAAAAACATTTCCTAATTCCTAAGCAAAAAGAAAAACGGATAACAAAACCATTTCCTAATTCCTAAGCAAGAACAAAAATGGATAACACAAAACCATTTCCTTATTCCTAAGCAAAAAGAAAAACGGATAGGAGCCTAACAAACCCATTTCCTATTTCCATACGCAAAAAGGACAACGGATATCGATTCCCCCATTTCCTATATCCATACGCAATAGGATAACGGATATCGATTCTCCCATTTCCTATTTCCATACGTCCTTGCTCTATGGGATAACGGATATCGATTCTTCCATTCCCATTTCCAAACCAAATAGGATAACGGAATTCGAATTCAAAATCCCAAATCCTAAAGAAAACGGAATTGGGATTTCTCAATGCATGCTGGGAATTTCAGACGCGGGAACTTTTTCGCAAAGTCGTCCCCAGGGTTTACTTTATTTTTAAATTTCCTTGCCTATACTATGTACTCGTGAGTGCGTAATGCTCAACACCACGTAAACGAGATTGCACTTGACGCCGTT